TAGGATATGTATACAGATTAGGAAAGCCTTCACCTGCCTACTTGTTCTGGTTCAGGGACTAAATGTTATGAAGCCATTGAATAAGTATGAGATGCAAAACAAGCAAGTCGGCAATGGCTGCCTCAACGATTTCCCCCCACAGAGGATCCATTTTAAATCACTGAGCAGCAAGAGATTAAAATCTCTAGTTAAGCTTAACGTTCAAAACCAAAATTTATCAGAAATGTAGAAGTTGTGCAGAATTCTGCAACATTTTAGAACAATTAGAGCTCTGTGAATGGGTAAGTTCTTTGGAAATAAACCATGTATTCAGGTCTTAAAAAAAAATATCCAGCCACATTTAAGATTTGTATTTGATGTGAAGTCAAGGCAGATCTCTGACAGCAAGTAGCTGCAGGAATCCTGACAAGGGCGTGTGACTGCAGTCAGAGCCAGCGAGGGGTAGGCGAGCAGCTTGGACAATGACTGTGCCACCATGCTGCTGGATCCAAAGGACCAGCAGCATTCTAATAGTATTTGCAAGTATTTAAAAAATGTTGTTACAAAGCAAATACTACTAATCTTTTCAGACCCCTTGTTCAGACTATGCCATTTTCCCAAATCCTTGAAAAGAAATGATATATTCAGTATGAAAATAATCTATCCCTTAACATCTCGAACGTTAAGGAGTCAGGGTTTTGTCAACACAAAGAAATCGTATATTAGAAATGCCCTATGTAGGGGGTTAATGCATTCTCCTACAAAACTCATGTAACATTCACTTATTCATCTGCTAAATCCTAGCTATTTACATGCATTTCAAAGCAGTTAAATTTTATGCTGAAAAAATTATTACAGCCGTCTTCACACTTAACTCTGATACAGTATGATTCGTCAAATGTGACTTCTAAATACTAAGCAGTAGCCACAGACTGCTGCCCAGGGATTTATCAACACAAAATAACATACAATGCATCCTAGTTAAACAACTGATGTTTGAGAGGTTCAGAGAGGTCTTCAGATATTGTATCCTATATTCTGGAAAAAGAACTATGGTTTTAAGGATGATTTCACCTTCAGGCTGAAAAAAAAAAAAAAGACTGCTGATGTTCCTGATGATTACAAACACTGAGCATTAAAGACTGTTGGAAAATAGAAACCCAAGAGGAAATCAACTTTTAGACATATAAACATTTAACAGGAACCTTTGCATAGCATGAACAATGCAATGAAAGCCCTTGATTTCCACTCATGAGCACCATTGTAAATATACTGGCTCTGTATTGACCTTTGATAAAAATTCAGTACTCTGATGCAAATGTAAGCCATCTATATATATATATATACATATAACTACATGGCCAGATCTGGAGTCCTTGACTGGACCCCTATTACCATATAATCACACTATTAATTAAAGTAACCAGGCTCCTCTCACTGCAATAGAGTCTCATTGTACTTCTGGGTTTCTGAGTATTAATATACAGCCAGGAGATGTTTCAAGCTATTGCTATCATTTGCAGTGCCTTATCTTGCTTTTCTATATGTGTGTCTAATGTAAGCCATGAGTGTTCTGATCTGTAGATTCACTTACGCCAAACATTTGGGTTTTGCACTTCCTTTGTGAGGGTGGCTAGGCTATCCCTCCATGGCGTCTCTGTATGCCTAGCATTGCCACCCTCCTTGGTGCATTCCCATTGTGGACTACATTGTGGACGCAGGCAGTGCAAGCATGTACATCATCCCTCAATTTCACCAGACTTTTTCTAATGCAGCGTTTAATGGGGCATGCGTGCACATTACTGAATGCCAGTGCAACACATCTTGGAAGATGTAATCTGAGGCTGGTAGTGCATGTGACCATGATGATATGTGCACTGTTTAAGCCTCAGACTGGATATTTAGGAACATTACAAACTAAATCTACTCTACTCACTTTGCAAAATAAGCCATGAGGTGAGCATTTATTATTATTAGTGACATGGTTTCTTATTTAAACGAGGCTTTAAAGTGTGCCTGCTGAACACACAAAGCACTTGGCAGCCATATTTATTAGAATGCATTCTATGACTTCTGTAGAAATTAGTGGTGATGATGTAATCAATCAATTCAGGAATAATATACATTGTACTGGTTCGGCTTACATTATGCCTCACAAACATGGCATTGATAGACACCCCCTCCCTTCAAGAAGATGACATGATAACCAATTCATCTCACAAAATGGCTACATATGCTGTGTAAAAAGGTCAGGTACATTTTAAGCCAGTAAAAAGTTTCATCAAGACCTTCGCTAAACAACAGTATGCATTGGAGCAATGGTTTGCTGGTACTTCTAGCATCAGATTTCAACTGTATGATGTAGGGAAAACAAGGAAAGAGTTATTTTAATTGATTGATATGGGTTACCACACAGCTCCCTATCCTAGTTCATTCTAAAGTGGTTTGTAACAATAAATATTTATTTGTAATCTAAAGTAATACTGTGGATATTTGTATATGTTTAAACACTGCAGTAGGGGGCAGAGTTTCCATCTATGCGTACCTTAGCTGCTGGATGAAAAAAAAAAAAAAATCTAGAGTTTCCATTAATCTCTATGGTAAAGGCAAATGTAAGCACTCGATGCTGTGTTTACATTTGGCAATGCACATTAATGATGCTTGCTCTTTGTAGCTGTGCTTCCTCTAGTGACGGACACCAAGAGATCAGTTCCACCTAATATCAATGTGCTGTAAATACAGGTCACTATACTACAAAAAGATAACCTTCACATCATCACAGTGTCAGGAGACAGCTGTCATGTAATAGTTCAAACCACTTGCTGTAAAACACCAAAGCATCTAAGAATTATACCTACAAAAAAAAACAAAAACAGAATAAAGATGCAAAAAGTAGCAGCAGATAGAATAGAAGACAGTGCAAAAATCTAATGGCAAAACTAAATATCTTTAGGAAAACAAGTCAGTGTCTTGGCAGCAGCAAAATCATAGGACAACCTTCTAAACCGTCACACAAAAGTACAAAAACACTGCAGTAGCTGATATTCTATAGCCAGACCAAATCCCATAAGGCAGGTTGCACATGGGCAGCTAGCTGCAGTGCAATATTCCATTTTTGAGCAACTAAGAGGCACAGGTGCAGTGTCCATGCATTTAGGGCTTGTACATTCAGGGATGAATGCCTGGAATACAGGTAATCTGAGGCATAGCACCCTAAAAAGACAGTACCCACTTTGTACGGCGTTCATAGACATTGGCATTCATAGACATTGACAGGCTGCAGACAGCGGGGTTGTATGCTGCACTTGTGCCTTCCAGACACACTAAAATGCTGGGACTGCACACACAGCAGCTAAATGGTCTGCCTGCAAGTGGCTTATGGCAGGTAACCACTGCTCATAGAAAATTATGACCTTTTGAGAATGGAAAAAAAACAAAAAAAAAAAACCCACCACATTTCCATCTCCTTAAAATAAAATGCTGTGCTTGATGTGACAGGTATCCGAGTTTTACTCTATAACTTGTCCAGCCACACACTGCAGCTTTTCAGTAACCGATTCTAAGTAAAAGGCACAATGTTATTATTGCTCAAATAACGACTTTTCATCTTCCAGTCTTGATATGGGCATCTCATGAAATGTCTACAGACCTACATCCAGCCTTGTGCTCACTTTGCAACTAGGTCAAATCAGAACTCTTTGAAGGCAAGGAAATTGTGGACAGGATAGAAAATGAGGCCGTTTGCCAATTTAGCATTATACAAAAATTCCCTTTTGTCCAGTGAAGAAAAAACAAAAACACAGAACCCCTTCTGGCCAAGGCAGGCCCTAAAAGGAAATTTTCTGGTAACTGTAATGAGGTTAAGGTCATCTGGCACTTGTCTGACTCGAAGACTAAATAGCACTATTGAAATCATGTGTAAAAAACAAATATCAAGGGAAATTCTGATCTTTACCTACATGCCAAACAACTGTTTTTTTCTTCAATAAAGATCAGCGTCCACAAGTACTGAAGTAGTACTGGTTGTTTGGGATTCCCACAGACATTTGTCCTAGGCACTTTTTTTTTTGCATATTGTTGCAGTTTTTGCCAAAATTTGAAAATGTATATTAATTATAAAAAGAAAACACAGATGCTGCATAGTAACTAACTTTGGCACTATTTCCCTTGACGTGATACTGTGTGAAGCCTTAAGAGCAAAAAAAAAAAAAAAAGCCATGCAAATTAAATTTTCTTTAGTAAATACACAGGACACCTTCCCATGTAATGTTAAGAGCACTTGGAAGTTACATTTAAGTGTCCACATTAACAACAAAAGGGCCATCAATGTGCGGAAGAAGCATGTAGGTCTTGAAATGGCATGGCACAAATAAGAAATGTCTTTACTTCCCCACTTTCCTTAGCCCTTTCCCTATATTTTAATGGACATGACAGACAAGTAAGACATTTTAATGTCTTCCCTACTACAGGGCACAGCAACATACAGCTGTGGCAGGGAAGAGGTTGAACACCGTGGTGGCAAAATAGCTGTCCAGAGGCACATTGTCCCTGATCCAGGCACAGAGACAGCAAGAGGAATATAAAGAGCCAGCAAAGAGTAGAGAAGAGCTCTGACACTGGCATGAGAGTTATTCAAGTATCAAGAAAAGGCCAGAAAACAGGAGCGGGGGTCCTCAGAATGAAGAAAGCAGACATATAAAGTAAGGTAATTCCCATAATGCAGTCGTAACCCCCTGAAACTCAAGGGGTTGTAAAGGCCACAGACAGAAATCAGTTTCATTTGTTTCTTCCAGGAAGAAAGATGCACATCGTGGGGTCTCCATTATATTTTCTCAGTACTTTCATTGCCACGGCAAGTAGACAACATATGACGCTCTGATTTCTGTTCTCTTCACAGAAGGCCACTGGTTTTACACATCCTCCTCTCAGCAGCGTGTGAGCAGAGCCAGAGTGGCACTTGCAAAAATGTTAAGTTGGTTAAGAAGGCAAAGGGCGATAAAAAGGAAGGGCTTGACTGGATGTTAGCGATTGCCTTTCATGGCATCTTTTGCAGCCAGGATTAGAGGTGTGAGGCTGGACAGTGGCTTGGCAAGTTTCAAGAATGGATGCTGTAACGAGAAAAAAAAAAAAAAAAAAAAGTTATTCACATTTTACCTTCCCTGAGATAAAACCAGCACTGTTTAACCCCTTAATGCCGTGCATCCCGGCTCTTTAACCACTTGCCTTCCAGATGATTCCCCACCTCCCCCCTTCCTGACCAGGCCATTTTTTTTGCAATACGGCGCTGCGTTACTTTGACAATTGCATGGTCATGCAACGCTGTACATAAATGAAATTTGTTTTTTTTCCCCATAAATAAAGCTTTCTTTTGGTGGAATTTGATCACCTCTGCATTTATTTTTTGATCTATTAACAAAAATTTTTAGAAATGTTGGCAGCCTACTGGCTGGATGCTCTAAGCAGCCCGAGCCACGCCGTCTGATTGGCCAAGACTGTATGAGCTGGCTGGTAATTGGCTGCCGTCAGTAATGGCTGCCTAGTCGTACTCTTCATTATTTTCTGTCGCGGTCAGGTTGGAGATGCTGTGCAGCCTCCATAGTGTCATAGCGCTCAATGGAGGTGGCCTGCAAGCTCTGAAAGGGAAGCCGGAGGCAGTGGAGGAGGCCGTGCTGTGCCAGGGATGAGTGTGCTGCTCAGCCTGGACATTGACTGGTGAGTGAGGAAGGAGGAGGAGTGCCGGACCCCCATCCGGATTATGTGTGCTGTGCCATCCCCGTTGCTGACACACCCACCACACCAGAGGGAGTCATCCCCGTTGCTGACACACCCACCACACCAGAGGGAGGCATCCCCGTTGCTGACACACCCACCACACCAGAGGGAGGCATCCCCGTTGCTGACACACCCACCACACCAGAGGAAGTCAGTCATCCCTGTTGCCGACACCCACACCAGAGGAGTCACCCCCATGCTGACACCCACCATCAGAGGAGTCACCCCCATGCTGACACCCACCATCAAAGAAGTTGTAAGGGTGTGGGGCGTGGATAAATACTGATGTGCAATGTTAAACTGCAATATGCTCTTCGGTCAGTACAGCAAAATACAAGAATTGATTTTGCGTTGAGGTTTACTAAAACAAAAAACTAATGCTTATTCACCTTATAAAGTTTAATGAATGCTAATTTAGGGGCCGAGTAGGACCCTCAGAAGGGTCATAGTGAACTGTAAATGCAGGTTTGAGGCTGCAATTAGGAAATTACTTACTGCATCACAAACTCTCTAAGAAGGGGAGGAGTTCCGGTGCAGAGCAGGAAGTGAGAGGGGTTCTGTGTCTGGCTGGTGTATGCGGAGGACGTCTGGAGAGTCTGTGTGGAGCCTGGAAGAGGATTTACGGCTCATAGTGGAGTCTGGCGACGGCACCTAGGGAAGATTCACCGCGACGAGACCGGGAAACAAATGACTATATGGTCCGGTTCTGGAGTGGATCAGTGGATCAGGAAAAAGCACCAAGAGCCTGCCAAGGAACTGTAAGTGCGGCTTTGCCGCAGCACATCTCACCACACGTGTTTAGTGACATTTTGGATATACCAAAAAGCTACAAGAGACATACTCCACTTTCCTTTGGATTACAAATAGTATTGCGCAATACTTAGGGTGCACCCCGACGTTATATCTTGCTCAGGAACATTCAGGCGCAGCCAGGCTGCTTTCTGGACATTGGGGGAAAGTCCGCAAGTACGGGGTTAGTGTTAGACAGTATTATTCTTACTGTATGGTTATGCGCTGTTATTCTGTTTATGTATGCTCAACTACTTGTTCACTATAACTGTTCAGTAAATGTAATTGTTGTAAAAGAACCGCTCTCTGTGTTTGTGTGGCATCGTGTACCCCCTGAATCTGTGGGCCCAGCCCTCGGTTTTCTTTCAAAGTCACCCCCATGCTGACATTCAGATCAGGGTCCAAGGAGTCATTCTCCATTCTGACACCCAGACCAGGGTCTAAAGGAGTCATCTCCATCCCTGGCCTTCTCTGTTTTGTTTAAGTGCATCCTGAATTTTCGGTTCCAGCACCATAATGTTTATTTCGGTGCACCACTAAAACAGATAGTTTACGCACCTGTAGGAGCTCTCTAGCTGAACCTCTCTTCTCCACATCCATCTCCAAAGAGCGGTTCAGAAAGTCTCGGAAGATTGGAGACAGCTTTTCAGGATTCTGCAGCTCTGGGGTGCCATTGGTGGCAATCAAATACAGAGCCTGAGGAAAAAGAACAAACTATGTAATGGCATATTACCAACGACTATTTCCTGAATGTATCCTTATATTATTAAATGAGACTTGAGGTGCATTACCAGGATAAAAAAAAAAAAAAAAAAAAAAAAATTCTCAGGATAGACCTTTTTCTTTCTAAAAATAATCTCAGTAGGAAATGTCAGAAGTAGTGCAAGCCTCCCACTAATTATAGAAATAAATGTAAGTAATCGAGCGCTGGGTGAATGAAAAATATAGCCGCTAGCATACACAGGTAAACTTCAAGAACCCATAAAAGAATAAAGCGAATATATAATATGCAGCGCTAATGGAACTAAAAACACACACTTTCATAAATTAACCTTAAATCACAGTAATAAAATAGGTGCTGAATCCCCATGTATGGGATAGTTAAAGTGACAAGTGCAAAACAGTCAATATATGCATAGTGACGAAGGAAATCTGTGGCTCCTGTGATAGTAGAAATGGACAAATATTGCACTAACCAGATAGCGCAGATGAATGCGCATGGAGTATATAAGACCTACTCCTGGTTCTCTGGATGTTTGATACTGCAAAGGATCGATGTCACCAGTACTGCAACCTCCAGGTGTCATCCATCCGGACAGAACATTCAGCCTTCAAAAATGCCAATCACAGCCACCAGGGAGGGGGCCATTCACAATGCGCAGCCACAGAGATCACCTTCAAAAAAACAGACTCCCAGGGAATTAAGAGCCCAAGAGAAAGCTTCCAATAGTGTAGTATGTCTTTATTCCAAAAAAAATGACAGCATATGAAGGATGAAAACAACTTACATCAAATCCCAATTCCAATATGGAATATGTGCACATACCGCAGGGCCGTTTTTTGGGATGCCTGGCGGCCATATTGGAATTGGAATTTTATGTAAGTTGTTTTCATCCTTCATATCCTGTCATTTTTTGGAATAAAGACATACTACACTATTGGAGGCTCTCTTGGGCTCTTTATTCCCTGGGAGCCTGTTTTTTGAAGGTGATTTCTGTGGCTGGGCATTGTGCATAACCCCCTCCCTGGTGGCTGTGATTGGCATTTCTGAAGGCTGGATGTTCTGTCTGGATGGATGACACCTGGTGGTTGCAGTACTGATGACATCAATTCTTTGCAGTATCAAACATCAAGAGAACCAGGAGTAGGTCTTATATACTCCATGCGCATTCATTTGCGCTATCTGGTTAGTGCAATATTTGTCCATTTCCACTATCACAGCAGCCACAGATTTCCTTCGTCACTATGCATATATTGACTGTTTTGCACTTGTCACTTTAACTATCCCATACATGGGGATTCAGCACCTATTTTATTACTGTGATTTACGCCCAGGCCTTGTTTCCCTTCTTTATGCAGCTTTGAACAGACGCTTGACGCATACTTCTGGAGGACTGGAATGGGGCCTGGTTGTTTACAGCTAAATGTTCCTTTAATACGACCATGCTGGAGGCGGCATACAAAGTATTGTTTCGCTGGTATTGGGTTCCAGCTCGTTTGGCCCAGGCAAACCCTGCCTGCAGTGATCGATGCTTTTGAGGTTATGGCCATCGTGGTGATGTATTGCATATCTGGTGGTCATGCCCGAGACGGATTGGTTTTTGATCTCGTGTGTTTGGTCTCCTTTTCAACTTGTTCCATCTCCCCATACACCGGGATGCTCGGTATGCTTTGCTTCATTGTCCCATACTGGGCCTCTTGCCCCACCAGCAGAAGTTTGCTTCCTATTTGTTTTTGTCGGCCACTAGAATAATTGCTCAGGTATGGAAGCTCCCGTTTGTCTCACTTCAGGGAATGCGGGACCGTATGACTACTATGATGCTTAAGGAACAGAGGTTGAGTATTTGTAAAGATTCCCAAAGGAAGTTTTTGAAAATATGGGAGCCGTGGTTGCAATATGCCCTTTCCACGCTCCCCCTCAGCTAGTCTGGGGTTGTGATGTTGCTCGGTATTGGCGTTCCCGAACCCCTGCTCATGGCCTTGTCATCTTTTTCCTATTGTACTCCTCCTTCCTTTTCTATGTTTTTGGTGTGGCGGTGGATAGCTGCCGTAGGTTTGAATTATTGTCAATGTTATACCAATGTTTTTGTCATTTATGTGCCATTGATAGCCCCTGCGTGGTCGCACTTTTTGCTTTGTTGGTGTTAGAGCACTGTTTATTTTTTTATGTGCAATTGATGGCCCCTGCGTGAGAGTCATGTTGCTCCTGTTTTTTTTTTTTTAAATGTTTATAAACTAATAAAAATCATTGAAATACAAAATTCAAGATGTCTGTACATTATCCATAAAATCCCAACAAGTATCATACCTGCTATATTATACAGAAAAGAGGATAAAGCAGACACACTGGAGCGGTGTTTCATGAGCCACTGCTCTGAGGAGGGGGCCAGTCCCCCAAACTGCGTCAGCTGGGATTGTCATCCGTACATTTTGTTGAGGTTGAAGAGTGGACTTCTGGATTCTGTGTCCTATGTTATGCCATCATCCCTTGTGAGCATTACACGTATTCTTTTATCCCTTAATAAAGTGCTGTGGATAATGCACTACACTAGCATCCTCTTTGTTTTTGTTGTTGAGCTGTGTTTCGTGCCTGTTTTGAACCTGGACAGTGTACTGTTAAGACTCAAGGACAAAGCCCCAATAGATATCAAATGTAACAAGGAGGATGAGACTAGGAAGCATATTCTATTTACAATATCACAATTATGTACTTGTTAAGGTATTATGGAATATGTTTGTTTTAGGTACAGACAACTTGGGACTTTAAAATTGATTCCATTGTCCAATTATATCAATACAACACAGAACACACTAAAATTAGGAGAGCACATAGTGATGATATATCAGTATAGTAATGTTCTTCACTGCAGTATTATCCATGCTGAACCAAGGCCACCACAGAAGAACCAACATCTCTACAGCTCAACCACCCTGCCCTTAAACTTCTTGTACAAACAAATCTATTCACAACAGCTCAAGATTTAATACAGATGATCCCATTTAGTGCAATGGACCACAGCAGAATTTGTACTTTGTCTTATTACAATAATCACCAAGGAAAACCAAGCTCTAGAAAACTGGATTTTTTCTACATACTTACGTGTAAAATCCATTTCTTGGAATACATCACGGGACACAGAGCAGGCTATTCATAACTATGTGGGTTATATGCCACTTATAGGTGGATGGACACTGGCCGACCAATCAGAGAGGAGGTCCTCACCTATATAACCCTTCCTACACAGGAAGTACTTCAGTTTTTGTAGCAAGCAATGAAATTCCAGAAAGATTGGCAGGACCTCTGTGTCCCATAATGTACTCCAAGAAATGGATTTTTACAGGTAAGTATGTAGAAAAAATCCAGTTTTCTTTATTGTACATCACAAGACACAAAACAGGCTATTCATGACTATGTCGGATGTACCAAAGCAATAAAGAAATTTGAGGGGAGGGCGACACCATGATAGCCACCGTCAATAATCCCTCAGGACCTACTCAGCTGTCTGTAAAAGACTGCGGCCAAAAGCAGAATCCTCTGTGGCTCTGACATTCACCTGGTAGAACCTTGTGCACTTGTGAACCGAAGACCATGTAGTGGCCTTGCAAACCTGAGCCACTAACGCCTCATGGCGGATTGTCCAAGATGCCACCACACTCCTGGTAGAGTGTGCCTTCATCTGAAAGGGTGGGACCTTACGATTCATACTATAAACTTAAATGATCAATTGGCGGATCCAATGTGAAATAGTCGCCTTGGATGCCACCTGCCCCTTCCTAGGCCCCTCTGGCAGCACAGAGCATCTGACCTCCTGACCTGTGCTGTCACCTGCAAGGAGACCCTTACAGCATGTACCATATCCAAGGTATGCAGAGATCTCCCTCTAGCTGACTGAGGCCTAGGAAAGGATGAAGAAGCAGAACGATGTGCTGAGTGAGATGAAAACTAGAAACCATGTTTGGTTAAAAAAAAAAAAAAAAAAAAAAAAAGAAGGTCGGTTGAGATCGCAACACCACCTTATGATGCGAAACCAGAAATGGTTCTCTGCAAGGAAGATCTGTCAGCTGACACCCTTCTTGCAGAAGTGATTGCCACTAGAAACAACACCTTACTATTCAACAGGACCAGTGGAATCTCTCTAACAGGCTCAAAATGGTGGTTTTTGCAAAAGTTGAGGTCCCAAGGACACTAAGGCAACCTGACAGGAGGCGCAATATGCATTACTCCCTGTAAAAAAGTGCAAACTAAAGAGTGAGACACAATGGGCCTCTGGGAAAACACAGCTAAACCCTGTTTGAAGAAACAACAGAATCCTACCAATCACATACTTTCATGGGTGCCATTTCCAGACCTTACAGCAGGAAATGTAAGCCCTCCAAGACCTGTAATAAATGTTCCTAGAGACTACATTTCTAGCACCCAACATGATGGGGATGACAGAATTTGTTACTCCCCTATCCTTTAGGATCTGGGTTTCAAATAGCCATGCCGTCAAATTTAGCGACCGTAAAGGACCTTGAGACGGCAAGTCTGGCCAACATGGCAGGGACCACAGCCCATCTACTGCCATCTTCACCATGTCTGCGTACCAGGCCCTCCTGGGCCATGCCAGAGCAATCAGTATCACCGGAATGGACACCTCCCAAATGCTGCGTAAGAGATGTGGCAGAAGCTGAATCGGAGGAAAGGCATCTACCCCTGCCATGCGAGGGTCCCTTACACTGAACACAAAAAGACCAACATTGTTTAACCTGTATACCAATAGATCTATGTCCGGGCAACCCAATCGCTGGCAGATTCCCCTGCAAACCTTGGGATGCAAAGCCCATTCCCTTGGAAGATAATCTGCCTGCCAATTTTCCACCTCCGGAATGAACACTGCTGACAAACTTGGAACATATCTCTCTGTCCAGGGAAGAATATAATCTCTGTGAAATATACTTCACAGTATCTCTGGAGACAAAGACATACAGTAATCCAGGGCCGGAACCTTTGTGTTCCAAATAGTCAGAATGTTCCTTTGCAGCGGTTTGGAGCGGAATTGGGCATAGGGAACAGCCTTGAATGAGAACACTATCTCCTCCAGCAACCTCATACAGAGGTGAACTGAAGGATTCCTCCTGGCTTTTAGGCTGAAAACCTAGTTCCTCAGGGCGCAATGTTTTCCTGGAGACAGAAATAGCTTTGTCTGAACCGTGTCTAGTACCGTCCCAAATACTCCAGGCTGTGCACGGGCTCCAGGGCCAACATCTAGAAGCTGAGCACCCAACCCAGCTGTTCCAGATTCTGCATCGTAAGGACCACATCCTGCTTCAGACCTGGCACAGACCGACCTCTGAGCAACAAATAGTCTAAATAACCAATACCAGATACTACACCCCCCGAATTCTGAGCATGTAGGTATGCGTCCTTGATGTCTATGGACGCTAAAAAAAATCTCCTTCCTGTAAAAAGAGGCCACTACTGACCAAACCGATTCCATACGACTGGACATTTAGAAACTGATTCAGCCCTTTAGGTCCAAAATGAGTCTTACATCCCCATTTGGCTTTGGGACTGTGAACAGGCTTCAATAAAACCCCTGCCTGACCTTCCTCCAGTTCCTCATCCTCAGGTTCCACCCATTCCTGCTCCAGGATTGGTGGCTCTAGTGACAGGCCCTCTCCCACTTCTTAGCCCCTTGTGGAACAGAGGCAAACATCCCTGCAATCTTATCCTCTACTAATCCTGCTAAGGCTGATGCAAGATCGTCCTTGGTTACAAACACTCATGCAGAAGCACCAGTAGTAGCCACAATGCTCAGATTGCCCAATTGCCTCTGGCCATTCAGAAGAGGATATCACAGCAGAACTTCGACTAGGTTCCCCATGACCCGACGATGGTGTATTAGCGACCCTTACTGCCGTGCCTCCCCACTCCGCTTTCTGGAAGACATGAGTTTGCTAAGTGTTTCTACCCTGTGTACCAAGAACAGCAACACAGGGACAATACAGCTATGCTAGTAGTGTGGTAAACAAACACTCACTGCGACTGCTGCTCCCTGGGCCGCATCAAAGGCAGCCTTCTGACTGACTGGCCTACTGTCCCTACCAAGGGAAATACTCACATGTCCCCACCAAATAGCCTGCTCCGTATCCCGGCCACAGCATCCAGCAGCAGCAACAGACCAGCCACAAGTGTCCAGGATGCTTGATAAATAAGCATGGCCAATTTCCACACGTGACCGTCATGCATGAGCCCGCCCCATAGCCAGCCGCACTTCCAGGCACTCTGCTTCCTCTAGTGGCCTCCAAACACCACAGGCAGATTCACAGCAAGCACTCCCCCTAGTGATATCACAGCCCATTGTAGCATCAATATACTTCTCATTTCCCTCCAAAACCACAAACTGATTTTAGGAAAATAACAGACAGCTTACCAGTGCCATCGCAGGTCCTGACTTCCACCAGGTACCAATCTTCATCCATCAGAGCGGGCTTTGTCATACAGACCTACAAGGACTAAGTCCCCTATTAAATGGGGCCACTGCCTCGGACCAGTACAGCACCCTACCGGAAAAACGCCTTGGTCAGTTTCCACTGCACAAGGTTCTGTTAAGCATGGTCCAGTGCCGTAAGGCTGCATTACAGGCAAAACCTCAAGGACTCTTCTCTTTATCCATCAAGGCTCGTGTACCATCCATCTTGCTAAGCAGCTCTCCAAATGGATCCGATTAAAGTCCATAATTCCCCAGGGAACCCATCTAGACCTTAGGTATGCTCCTTGGAGCACAAGCAACACTTTCAGTGACCATCCACCTTACAGACACTAGCGAAAAAACTGAGGTACTTCCTGTCTAGGAGAGGTTATATAGGGGAGGACCTCCTCTTTGATTGGTCGGCCAGTGTCCATTCATCTATAGGTGGCATATAACCCACATAGTCATGAATAGCCTGCTCTGTGTCCTGTGATGTATGATAAAGAAAGTGGATTTTTTTATATATTTATGTCCAGTCTGCAGGCAGGTTGGTGTTTAAAGTTGTAGAGCAATAATGAAAAATCTAGATAACAGAATAACACATCTTTTTGCAGGCAAGACAGTTGACACAAATGCTTTAACTGTGCATTTAATGGATAGGCTGGAGTTCAAGCTTAAGGTAATAAGCAAACACCAAATTCATGAACACTATGACATTGCAATAAATAACTTACTCTTAGCGGGTTCTCATTGAGGTAAGGTGGTTCTCCTTCCACCATTTCAATAGCCATGATACCAAGGGACCAGATATCAACTTTGGGTCCATATGCTTTCCTGGTCACCACTTCTGGGGCCATCCAATATGGAGTTCCAACCATAGTGCTACGTTTGGTTTGCTCTGGGGTAATCTGAGCACAGAAGCCAAAGTCAGCTAAAGGACAAAAAAGAAGCAATGAGTATAATTGTTGTGGCACAGGGAAGATGTAATGGAGTCAAAATCAAGAGGGGGGGGGGGGGGGGGGGGGGTTAATCATATTAAGACTTATTTTAAAGATGCTCAGTTTAGCAAATTGGCTAGGGATTTAAAAAAAAAAAAAAAAAAAAAAAAAAAAAAAAAAAAAAGGGATTTAAAATCAAAAGAGTGGCCATCCTTATATGCAACTATACAGAGTGTGTGCATATCACTGGCCTATAATTGTTCTACATATTCCTACCGAGAGCAATGGTTAACTCCCACTAGTGGATTCTTTATGAGAACCCAAACTCTGACAAGAATAAACCTCTCCAGGGTGAACATCTGATGGGGAACTGGATCTAGCTCTGCCATGGGGCTGAAATTGAAGACTTTATAGAGATGTGAACACAATAAAACTATGAACTGTTCTAGATATTTGTTCACAGATATATGCTGTCCCTGATTGGTGTTTATTTTAGCACCCCATTTTCTCCTGCCAGTGTAGTTGCATATTACAATGTAGCCCTGATGTTCTTCTGTATTGCGCAATCCTTATATTAGGACTATTCTTGCCGTACTGTTTTGGATTTATAACCCTGCTCACGCAATTGTATCTTCACCATATTGTATCTATTATGGTTGTATGCTTTTTTTCCTCTCAAGAAAAAAAAAAAAAAAAAGTTCACACTTGAAAGTTAAAAACTATGAACTATTAATATTGCATCTGGGATTCTCTCCAGGGCTACCCACCTATCTTAGTGGTCAGACAACCAGTGCAACAAATACTCTATTTCTAAGCATTATCTATTGATGCCAATGGGTGCACATGTTCTTGGAAACTGCTGCTTTCAAGACAGAGTGGTTGACTGATGCACCCTGCATTACTGTATCTCAGATAATGATTTTCTGTCTGGAAGCCAGAGAAGGCTAGCACAATTCCATAATCAGAAAAAGATATGAAAAAAGGAATTTAATATTATTAACATTGGAACGCAATAGAACTGGCTAATATGTGAAAAAGAAGACACTAACTCAGCTTGACAGAGCCATCCATTCCCAAAAGAACATTATCACTCTTGATATCCCTGTGAATGACCTGGTTGGCATGTAAGAACTCCAGCGCTTGCAAACACTAAAATCAAAACAGAAACAAAAAACAAATTGAGCAAAAATACTCATACACTGTATACAGGATAAATATTAACAGTCACAAAGCATGTAAACATTTCTAATCAAAATAATTATTTGCAAAAAAAAAAACACAGAATTAAAATCCTGTCACAAACTGAATACGTGTTTAAAATAATAAAGCATAGGTTACCGTCTGTAGAAAACATATGACTAGATCCAGAGGCATTATGGGCACCAGGAGATTTACATGTAACCCCAACTTTTCCTTTGAAAGTTAAAGTGGTTGTAAATCCCCCCAAATACCCAAGTGAAGAGACTGGCCTCAGGTGATACACAGAGATGAAAAACAAATCCTCTATATAAGTTGTACCTGTTTATCTGAGTGTTCTCTTCTCTACATCTGTATAAAGCTTGTCTGAGCTTTGAGAAAGCAGGGGCGGAGAGCTGAAGTAGCACACTGCAGATCTCAGTGAGGAGAGCTCTGAGCGCTGATTGGAATGAAGGGACACACCCACTATCACAGAGCACACAGGGCCAGAGTTTTGGTTGTCAGTCTGTGTGCTGGAGCTCCCTCCCCTGTCACCTTTTTTTCCTCTTGGCATCAGGAAAACTTGTCAGAAGTGATTCATGATGACAACTACACAGCAAACAGAAATTACACTTTGTGCTCTGGACTGAGACAAGTATAAACTATAGAGGCATATGCCCTGTTCATAAACTGCTCAAAAAAATTAAAGTAACACTTTTCATTAAGAGTATAGCATCAAGTCAATTAAACTCCAGGGATATTGATCTGGTCAGTTAAGTAGAAGAGGGAATTGTTAATCAGTTTCAGCTGCTTTGGTGTTAATGAAATTAACAACAGCTGCACTAGATGGGCAACAATGAGATGACCCCCAATACAGGAATTGTTTTATAGGTGGAGGCCACTGACATTTTTTCCCTACTCATTGTATCTGTATTTCATTAGTTTTGCACTTGGCTAAGGTCAGTGTCACTACTGGTGGCATGAGGAGATACCTGGACCCTACAGAGATTGCACAGGTAGTCCAACTCTTCCAGGATGGCACATCAATTCGTGCCATTGCTAGAAGGTTTGCTGTGTCTCCCAGCACAGGTTCAAGTGCATGGAGGGGATTGCAGGAGACAGGCAGTTACTCGAAGAGAGCTTAACAGGGCCGTAGAAGGTCCTTAACCCATCAGCAGGACCAGTATCTGCTCCTTTGTGTGAGGAGGAACAGGATGAGCACTGCCAGAGCCCTACAAAATGACCTCCAGCAGGCCACTGGTGTGAACGTCCCTAACCAAATTATCAGAAACAAACTTCATGAGGGTGGCCTGAGGGCACAATGTCCTCTAGTGGGCCCTGTGCTCACTTCCCGGCACCATAGAGCTTGATTGGCATTTGCCCTTGAACATCAGAATTGGCAGGTCCGCCACTGCACCCTGTGCTTTTCACAGATGAGCAGGTTCACCCTGAGGACATGTGACAGTCGTGAAAGGGTCTGGAGAACCTGTGGAGAATGTTATGCTGCCTGTAACATCATTCAGCATGACCATTTTGGTGGTGGGTCAGTGATGGTCCAGGAAGGCATATCCATGGAGGGACGCACAGACCTCTACACCTAGACAATGGCACCCTGCCTGCCATTAGGTATCGGGATGAAATCCCTGGAAACACTGTCAGACCCTATGCTGGTGCACTGGGTCCTGGGTTCCTGCAAAAGTATGCAGGCAGTTCCTGGAGGATGAAGGAATTGATACCACTGAATGGCCCCCATGCTCTCCTGACCTAAACCCAATAGAACACTCTGGGATATCATGTTTCGGTCCATCAGACGACGCCAGGTTGCACCTCAGACTGTCCAGGAGCTCAGTGATCTGGTCCAGATCTGAGAGGAAATACCCCAGGACACCATCCGTCTTCTAGGAGCACGCCCCGACGATGTCAGGCATACATACAAGCACGTGGGGCCCAAACAAACTACTGAGTACCATTTTGAGTTGCTGCAATGAGATTTCGGCAAAATGGACTAGCCTGCTGCATAATTTTTTTACTTTGATTTTCAGCGTGTCTTTGAATTCAGTCCTCTGTAGGTTGATAATTTTAATTTCCGGCAAACGATGGGGCATCCTTACATTCCTAACAGATTACCCAGCCCATATCATTTTAGATATCCAGCATATTTTTTTTCCCCATTGAGATCTGATGTGATTTCAAAGTGTTCCTTTTGAACAGTGCATTTCAGGTCTAAGGTTTACAACCACTGTAAGCTTGGCCCCACCTGCCCACGAGCTTCCATCTCTCTAATAGTTGTACAGACCCTTAATCCAGGGCTCGATAATTCCTAGGCGCTAGGTCGTCATGGCGACCAGAAATCGCATCCTAGCGTTTGGGCCCTGCTAGCCCACATTGCCCCATACTCCCCCACCCCACATCCTTGGTCAGCTTCTCTCCCCTGCCCCACAGAGTGGAGCCCAGCCCAGGTTCTGGTGTAGCAGCAAGAGAAGTATCCCATATCGCTAGCGGGAATAATCCACAACAGATTCCAGGGCATTATGTAGGTCATGAGGGTCTTAGGGGTAAGATAGGTAGGGGGAAGGGAGGGTGGGAAGTAGGGTCGTGGGTGGGTAACCAGAGGGGGATGGGAAGGAAAATGGGGGGAAGTTTTAGGAAGGGAATGGAGAAAAGGAGAACGTCCATATCTTAAAATGTCTATATCTGTCTTCCTTTGATGGGAAATTAGGTAGTATAGTGAACAGGAGAAATGAGCCTAATTAAATGTATGACATATAATGTGAAAGGATTAAACTCTAACAAAAAGACACAAGATAATGAGGGAAATCTACCAACATTCCATAGATGTAGTGTTTCTTCAAGAGACACATATACCTCAAAATACAAACGTTAAGTTATATTCAAAGCATTATCCAAGATGGTATTATGCGGATTCTCTAAAAGGAGTAGCAATTAGGTTTTCAAAAAACGTAAGTTTCACCCTTAAGGGTAGATTAGAGGACCCCGAGGGTCGGTTTCAGTTCCTGAGGAGATTAGTATAGTACTGCTTGGACCTTGAAGAAGGGGGCACTCCCCGAAAGCTTGTCCTCAAAATTGTATGTTAGTGCAAATAAAAAAAAAGTATCACGGACAGTACTCAATAGTTCCTGAGGAGAAAATTGCAGGGACTGGAATTCACATTAGTTAATATCTACTGTCCAAATAAAAACCCAGTAATATATCTGGAGAGAGTGTTAAGAAAACTTGAATTTAAAAAGGGTACCCTGATTGTGGCAGGAGATTAAATTTGTGTCTGGATCCTCAGTTGGATGCATCATCAGGTATGCGGAAAGCGGGGGGTAGGAAATTAAAGTTATTGAAGAGGTTATTATATCAATGCCATCTGACCAACACTTGGAGAGTAAAAACATCCAAGAGAAAGACTATACCTTCTCTCCGGTACATGGTTCATATTCAAGACTGAATTATATAATGATTGAACATAGACAACTGGAGTCATTGGTTAGTTTCCAACATAGAAGTTATGTCCATCTCTGATCATGCTCCTGTCACAATGAGGCTATGGGTAGGAGGGGAACAGCATAAACTATGTGGAGACTAAATGAGATGCTTATACAGGATCCTGAAACAGGAGACAAGGCTAAGGCAGGAAATTGAGAAGTGTTTTGAGCTCAAGGAGACTGAGGAGGTTTCAGTGGCCACAATTTGGGAGGCACACAAAACATATATTAGGGGAATATTGATTTTGATAGGAGCGGGGAAAAAAAAAAAAAAAAAAAAAGAAAGAACAAGGAGAAAAAAAATAAAGATGGTGATAGAGGAGCTCCATAAGTTAGAAGAGTTACATAAAAAAGACAAATACAGATAAAGAGGAGAAGAACTAAAAGATCTTATGGAACAGGAATCGCGAAGGATATTTAATAGGGTTTCAAAAGAAAGATATCAGTGGGGGAACAGACCAGGAAGATACTTAATGAGGAGGTTAAAAGGAAAAGAAATCTAAAAACTTCATAGAAAAAATTCAAGACGGAAAAGGATAAATGGTTTATTCCACCACTGTTATTGCCAATAGGTTTCAAAAATATTATAGTGGACTGTATGATGTAAGCTACAGAAATAAAAAAGAAATGGAGGATGAAAATAATAAAATCAGGCAGGAATATTTAAAGGAGGCGGAGTTACCAAGAACAGCAGAAGAAAAATTAGGACCTAGAGAGAATTATTACCCCGGAGGAAATCACCTTGGCCTTAAAGAATATGGCCGTAGGAAAGAGCCCTGGCCCAGATGGATATACAGTGGTTATATGAAAGCAGTAGGGGAGGGGCAGGAAATGAAGGAAGAGTCATTACACGCCTACATAACGATCATACTTAAGGGAAGGATAGCTCACAATGTGCCAGTTATAGGCCCATATCCCATAGGGGAAGTGGAGCATAAGGTAGCAGCATATGCAGACAATATGTTACTCTATATTGTAAATCCTAGAATAACGTTGCCCAATTTACTGAGTTTATTAAAACAGTATGGCGAGCTATCAAACCTGAAAATAAATCCTGCAAAGTCAGAAATTTTACATATCAATACACCAAAGCTAGAGAAACGGAGTTAACAAAAAGATTTTCCATTTACCTGGGGGAAAAAAAGGAAATAGTCTATCTAGGAATACAAACCAACACCTTCAATAACAGGCCTATACCAGGCAAATTTTATCGCATTAACAAATTAAATAAAGGAGGAGCTGGGGAGACTTTTAAAGCGGAAGAGTCTCCGGGATAGGTTGTATAAATCTGGTAAAGATGGTGATAGCACCAAAAATCCTGTATAAGTTTCACATGCTTCCAGGGTCTTTCTTTGGAATAATAAAGGTTTAAATGGGCTAATAAGAAACCGAGAATAAGGCAAGAGGTATTATGTAAGGCAGAAGGAAGGGGGGATTGGGTTCGCCTAATGTTAGGAAATATCATTTAGCGGTGTTATTCTCATGAATAGTAGACTGGACATTTAATTCACATAGGAAAGGTTGGGTTAACATTGAAGGGATTTTAAGTAAGGCACAGTTAGAGAAGATAGTTCGGATTCCACATAAATTTCACACATTTGATGTGAATACTAGTCCATTGACAAAGAAAGTTTTAAGTGTTTGGCATAGAATGTTTAAGCAAAAAGGATGGAAATATAATTCAGTATTGACTCCTTTGGTGCGAACGGAGTATTTCGCCCCAGGGAAGGATAATATCTCAGGGAAATGGATAAAAGAAAAAAATGCACATTTGAATATTTTGATTATAGGGAAATTGCACACTTTTTTAGATTTAAAGAGGAAAAAAAAAATATTTATTTTTTTTACATTAGAGGAGTAGCGGTATGGTCAATTAGTTAATTTTGTTTCAATGCTCCCACAACCACTGAGGACGTTGGAGGATCAGTATCCATTTGAAAAATTGTTGAATGTAACTACAGGTCCAAAACAATCCACCTCTAGGATTTATAAGATCCTTAAGGATATGGAAAGAGCTGATCCTCCCCAGTTCTGGGCAAAATGGGAAAAGGAACTTGGAACAGAATTGAATGAGCAATAAAAGGAATAAAATGTTTAATTTAACACACAAGGTGATAAACAGGAGCACAGTTGAAATGAACTATAAATGTTTGGAGAGATGGTATATTACATGGCACATAAACAACAAGTAGAGGTATCACCGCTGTGTTGGAGAGGTTGTGGGGAAAAAGAGAAACAATGGCACATATATGGTGGGATTGCCCAAAAATACAGGATTACTGGAAGGGAATTACCCAATATATTCAGGAAATATGTGGGATTACTGTACAGAGGGACCCATGGACATGCTTATTTTATAATCTTGAGCCTTCAGGGAAACTGCATAAAATAGGGTACTATATCATCTAATTAGTGCAGCTAAGGGCTTGATTCACAAGTTCTGGTAAGTGCTAGAGCTGCCACAAATAAATGATTGGATAATTAGAGTGAAAAATATTTAAAGGATGGAAGAGCTATATCACATAGAGGAGGATGAAACAGAAAAATGTAGGAAAACGTGGAGTAGTTGGATAAATTTTAAAACATCTAAAAGATATTCGGAATTGGTCAGAGTCTAGGGGGAAAACTAGAGAGGGCCAATGGAGTACCAGAAAGAGAGTGGAGGTGTGAGAGAAGAGACATGGATATAGATAGACAACTATGAAGAGAAGACAGAAACAGGGTTATAGGACATGGACTGAAGTAAATGGAGGGGGGAAGAAGGGTGGGGGTAAGGGGATGTAAAATGGAATTTTAAGCACATGTGAAGTGTCCATGTACTAGGTTGCTTCTTTCTTTGTTTTATACTGGAAAATTTAAATAAAGAAAAAAAAAAAAAAAAAAAGGATGAGTATCCCACGAAAATTGGTATCCCCTGAAGCAATTGCGCATGTGCTGGTTTAAGGCACGACTATCAGATCACCGAAGTTGCTTCAGTTGATACCTATTTTCATGGGATAATCATCTTGCCACTACACTGGGACCCTTGGAGTCTCCTCCATCCATCCCTGTGCAGAGTCCAGGTGAAGCACGGAGTCCTGGACAGCCCCACAAATGCTGCGCTCCCCTCCGGAAGACACCACAGGCCCGCCCCCTCCGCACACAGCCACCCCTGCCAGAGAGCACATTGAGTGGAGAACGTGGCCTCCCACACCGTTTGCCCCATCCGCACCGCTGGACAAGTGTTTGGAGGGCAGCCAGCCGCACACCAGAGCCAGTCAATGCTGCCTTTAACTGTGGTGGCACTCCCCACTGGAGGACTGGAGTCAGTGGGGACACCAAGTCCCGCTACGTGTGTGACAGCAGACAGCCACAGCATGGTGCCAACCCCCCTACCGACCCACAACAACCAGGCTACCCCTTCCTGACACCAGATCCTCACCATTGACACCATCTGGAGGAGCTACAGCTGGACAGTTGAGAGCCCCCACCTGTCCCGCTGCCTCACTCCTGTGACACTGCCCCCCCCCCCCCCACCTACCTGTCCCCCTCTTGTGATGCTGCCCCTCACCTGTCACCCTACCACTCTCCTGTGATGCTGCCCCCCACCAGTCCCGCTGCCCTCCTCCTATGATGCAACCCCCCCACTTGTCTCCCTGCTCCCCCTCCTGTGACTCTGGCCTTCCCTTGTGATGCTGCCACTCACCAGTCTCACTGCTCTCCTCTTGTCTCCCCGCTCCTCTTCTGTGACGCTGCCCCCTCTTGTTCTGGGGCCCCCCTCCCCCCCACATGGATTTTAACTTTTTTAGCTAACTCCTAGTTTCAAAGTAAATTTGTCAAGCCCTGTCCTAATCACAATAAAAGGACCGACACCAAAGCTCAGGAGACTGTGTGAACTTTACATGAAATTACAAGCTTTGTACTCAACTTCAGGTGAATATATCTATTGATCAATCTGAGGTGTACTTTTCAAAGATAAAGATGGATATATACAATCGCATGCAAAAACATTAATATTTTCAGGTTGTAGAAAATATTACAGATTAAAGTAAAAAGCACCTTGGAGATAAAGAACAGAAACAGAGCAGTTGCATCTAAAAAGGGAACAAGTCAAAAGCACTGTTACCAAAGAGTGCCGCAACTAACCCCCAGCACTGTTTTCATACTTAGCTGTGACAGGTACAGTGGTCTTTTCACATTAATTTTAAAGAGAACCAGTAATGAATAGCCTTATGCAAGAATCTTAATAGTCAGCCCTGAAGTGGACCTGAATTAAAAAAGTGAAAATTTACTACCTTAAAAAGTGAACACCTGCAAAATGTGAACTCGTGCACAAATGCACCTGCACAAAATGTGGGGAGAAATTGAAGCACAGTGTTCAAAGCTAATGGACACAGTAGTTGTGGTTCAGGCCAGGTTTGGGTCAGGTCGGGTTTACATCAGGATCAAGCAAGAAAACCATCCTGAAATTGTGTTCACAAACTCATGACATGTGCGATTCAGAAGCGGTTCCCATAGAAGTCAATGAGCCTGTAATCCGCACTTGAACCTGCTAGTTAGAACCAGTGTTGTTTACTGCGCTCCTTGTCTAGCTGTACCCAAAAAGATCTGCAATTCAAAATATCCCTACATCATTCATTCACTGGATCTGCGATTCCTGCATTTCTTATGCTCATTAGATTACAAGTCATCAGGGGGAAAGCTCCGACATGATAAAGCAAATTCCTGCTACTAGAAAGATGTCCAACTCCACATACACAAACACTGTGCACAAGGCATGGTAAATCAGTAAATGGGGGGAAAAGATCAGTTGCATGGAGCTTACAGACCATATTGAGGACTAGTCTTTTGTCCTCTGTTGCAATTCTTGGGAACAGCTTTCACGGATAAAGTCCTTTTTAAAGGATTTACATATGTGTGAAACAAATTTATCCCCAAAGCTCCTTCCCTAGAGCATGCTGCAGTATTAATATTTTTCTGTGAAGTCATCACCTGACACCAGCACAATTATTGCAGGGGCAGATGCTGAGAGGAAGGATCTGCAAAGTGCTCTAGGTCACTTCCTACTGACACAAGCAAGCCCCCACAGAACTACATCTCCCAAGATGTTAAAAATTGCATTTTTAAAAATGGGATAAAACACAGGGAAATGCACAGGTATTGCAGAGATGTACTGCATGTATTTTTTATTCTGCTCAGACATATACTTTAAAATGATCAAATGTACAGGCTTACCTAGAAAATATTTTTCAGTTACCCCTTACTTAGCTGAAAAACAACCTAATTTAACCTGAAATTTTAGAAAGTAACACAGAAGAAATGCGTAGAAGTAACTATGTTTGTCTACAAATTTTGGATTAAAGTGTTATATTCTTGCATAAAACAATTAAGTGGTTCTCAGCCCTGCAAAACCAGCTGATTACTTTTATTTACTCACATGACAGATGCAGTACTCACCTCTCTACATACAGCAGCTATTTGTGCTTCATCCATGCAGGTCTCTGTGACCACATCTGTGAGAGAACCACCAGCCAGATATTCCATAACAACAAACAGCTCATCTCCAACTAGAAAACTGCACAAGACAAAAACGTTACAAGAGAATAGCAAGTCCTGTCATATATGCCTTAACATATACACTAGAACATTACTTTGCTGACTAGTTACACACACATTACTGCAAAGATGCATGTTATCAAAAAGCAAAAACTCTGATAAGTGCAGTTTGTACCCAAAAATACCTGTTCTATTGCCTTACTTGCACAATTTCATTTTTGATTAAGAGTGATTAGATATAACTAAATGTAAAAAGGATGCTGGATGTACCATAGGACACTACCAATGACTGCACACATGGACCGTGGTTAGCAAGCATGACAACACGTACTGCCTTCATACCTGTCCAGGAAGTTTACAATATTTGGGTTCTTCAGCTCTTTCATAACAAGAATCTCATTTATGATGAGCTCTTTCTTAGGCTGTTTCTGCAGATTAATCTGTTTGATTGCAACCTGTAATAAAATTAAAGCATGAATGATATTATTATAATCATATTGTGAGGCATCAAGCTTGCACACTACTTTTATAGCACAGAGTGTGCAAGTAAAAACTAAGTGGTTCATTCAATTTTCAGATTTGGTTTTAAAAAATTAAAACAAAGAGGAGATGAATAAAAAGTTTTACTATTTGCTCTGCTTTTAGCAAGGAAAACTTGATACAATAAATTTAAACCACACATGTAAACCCATACAATGTTTGTCATTCAAATGCGTTGTACCACAATATTCTAAAAAATACTATTAAATAAGGAAGGACAAATTGGTGATGATCATCTGTATAGCACAATAACCTTTTGTAACCAATATCACATCCCACTGCCATGGCTTAGAAAACAAAATAATTACCTATTAAAACAGATTAGACCTGTATAATAATGAAGATGAAATGTGAGCCTTACCTCCTGCCCGGTGGCTACATCAATAGCAGTAAAGACAGTCCCCGAGGCACTGTGAAAAAGAACCAATGGTCATTATATATAGTCACATTCTAGACAAACTACTTATTAAAAGAAGATAATTTCCCTGTAAAATGCTTTAAGCAGCATCAGACAGGAAACAAAGTCAATAAAGGCCAAAGTGCTGTTGTGGACACTAGCATGGTTTTGCTCAACATTTTTTTTTACTCAACCAAATAAAATGCAGATAGGACCTTTGTAAACAGCACCTCTTAGGTATGTATAATAAAAACTGCAAACAAACCAGGGAAAGAATCTGAGAAAAGAGGTACCACGATAGATCCAAATAGTTTGGCAAAAAATGTTAACTTTATTGTAACAATATGCAATTAAAAATATACAGGTAAAAATAGTAGATGCAAAGTAACAAATGCCAATTTTTCAGGAACCTCCACCCAACACCAAAAATAGTGACAATGCTGTCAGTCTATTGTAAATCGCCAGTTTCCCATAATGATAATGAGAGCAGTTTATAGGAGTGCTGCTGTAGTAGCTTATCCATAGTCACCTATGCACGTGGCAATTGCCCCTTATGTGGAACTCTGCTTCATATAGCTTTGAAACAGCCATTACTACACAGCTCAATCCAGGTTGGATAAGCTACTACAGCAGAATCCATATGAACTGCTCTCAACAGATTGTTCCCCTGCTTGTGGCTTCTCACTTGTGTTGCTGCTGCCTGTCAATGAATGTGCAGAAAGTCAGTAATATCCATATATACGGACATGGACTTTCATCTTTGATTTGACAATTCAGCCAAGTCTGCCTTTCTAAACCTATGCGATGCATGAGCGTCTTTCTTAATGTCCCAACTGCCTGTCAGCAGCTTGCATACACACTATTATATGAGCCTGCCGATTTACCTTCTTCAGCTTTATACCTTTTGCAATTGCTATTTAGCCTGCAGCGAGGACCTTTATAGAGCGTATTTAGCAGGGTTGAGCCATGAGCTATTCATGATTATTTATGCTGCTAATGTAGATCGCCAAGATCTATTCCCTAATTTATTTCCAATTTGGTCATTATATTACCCCTAATCTGTAGGGCTTAGGAAAACTGTAATACAATAAGACTGACATTATCTCTTGTAGTCCGGACTAACGTGTTTTTATCACTAACGTTGTCACTGTCATTTTTGGCATTGGGGGAGGTCCCTACAAAATTAGCATTTCCTACTTTGCATCTACTATTTATCTGTATATTTTTAATTCCATATTGTTTCAATAAAGCTTAAATTTTTTTTTTAGTCAAAACTACTTGTATCTATTGTGGTACCTCTTTTCTCAGGTTCTTCCCTTGGTTTGTTTGCAGATTCTACTTTGGTACATGATCCACACTGCAATTCAGGGAGTTAGTGGACTTTTCAGTTCCACTGCTACAAGCGGTGCCATTTTACTTTTATTGAAGTATGTATAGTAAAAACCTGAACAGCAGCAATTTTAGTAAACGAACACATGTACAATAGGCCTATTACAATACAAATTTGACATGGTCTATAGAACAAATACTTTGCAGTACAGACTCAAACAGAGCTTAACATATGACTCCAAATACCAGCCAGTGTCGACAGCCTTTTGTTCACTTTATTGGAAATACCGATACTTCCCCGTGCAAGTTTAGGGTAATGTAAAAGTAGACTGAAAAGTAGGATAAATGCAGGTCAAACTGCAATTCATTCTGAAAGAGCTCATAAATCATCTCAAACTGATGTCAAAAACAAGCTGCATTTTGGCTGCCTAAAGTGATTGTAAAGGAATTTTTGTTTTATAACAAACATTATACTTGTCTGCTCTGTGCAATGGTTTTGCACAGAGCAGCGCCTATTCTCCTCTTCTGGGGTCCCCCACTGGCTTTTTTGACTGATCCTGCCTTATGAGTGCCCCCTAGCAAGCTGCTTGCTAGGTATGCACTTGTGGGGGCTCAATCTCCAGCCACACCAATTACACCCACAGTGAGGCTTGGCACCGCCCCCATCACTGGATATGATTGACAGCAGCCCTTGGCTACTGCTGCTCTCCCTATATCCAGTGAATGAGGTTTGAGAAAGTAGCGGTCACGGGCACAGCGATGGATCGAGATTGGATTCAAGTAAGCATTGGGAGGGGGGAATATACCTACATTTTTTTTTTCTTTTTACTCTTAATGCAGAGAATGCCTTTACAACCACTTTAGGTTTGTGTTTATGATTTCATTTTTGTTCCCTCAAGATCAGTGGCTGCTGAAAGTTAGGATAAAATCATTCTACTGCTTGCTTGGTTAACATGTCTGCTATGAAAGCATACCCCTTTCTTCACTCCTACTCGGTACCAACTAGGACTGTCAAAACTTGCATAAGAAAACATTTCGTACCTGCTACATATATCAATGTTTTAATGTGTCAGGTTTTCTTAGGCGTAGATGTGCAACCATTTGAGCAAAAATCCTGCCCTAGCTGCACAACTTACAAATCAGAACTGTATATGCACCCCTATGGAGGTTGGATATTTGTAACAGTGTAATTATGTATACATAAAGCCATTAAATAACCCAGAGATGATCTGAAGATAGAAATTAAGTTTGATCTACTATAATGAAAAACTACATCATGCAAGCTTCTGCATGATATAACAATTTAAGAGCATATAGCAGGCCTTAAAATTTCCACTCGCCTGCTCGCATTGGCGAGTAAAAATTATGGTGGGGGCGAGTGTGTCCCCATGGCTGTCTTGCTGAGCAGGCTCAGAACTCGGGGTCGGATCTGTCACTCGCACTGGGAGCCGTCAGACTGCTCAATAGTTGAGCAAAGTGAAAGCAAAGGAAGGATTGTGTGCTGTGCTCTCTGCCTCCCCCTAGAGTGCAGTATCCAGCTCTGTGAGTGAAGGTAACTAACTACTGCAACTTTTTATAGGGCTGTGTGTGTGTACACGTATCTGTGTGTGTTTGTGTATGCATGTACATTTGTCTGTGTGTATATGTACATGTGAAGAAAATTAATTATATCAAATTTATAATTCTGCACTTATATTATATTGATGGCAAGCTTGCAAAATATGTTTTTTATGATTAATCATAATTATTATTAAAATGCTTTAATGGTTGCCTTAAGCTGATGATAGTGTTTATTTCTTCAGATATAGCTGAGACAGAAAAATATGACGTGAGTTATTAGCTGAACTAACCAGCTGAGAGTTGAGTATTCTATTATAAGGTATAGCTGGTTAGAGAACAGGTAAAATGTCAAGGGTGTTAGAAGTGACTAAAAATAGAATAAGTATTACATTATGTATTTTAATAGTATCTGTGTGTATTTAGTTTGATTTATAAGTTGGTAATATTGTTACATATGTAGATTAGTGGTTATACATTATTGTAATGTTGTAAAGATACATTCTTAATTTATATTATCATTTAAATATGAGTAGCTGATGTTACATCACCAGCTTATTATGGACATCACATATGTACCTGTCAATCAAACGGCCATATATGTAGCGTCCCCTCCCTTCTATGAAATTGCTCTGCTAAGCAGTATTGATTTCCATACAAGGTCCCAAGATCACAAGTTATGACGCTTACTTGCTTTATAAAATCACCTTAAGGGACAGTCTGGGGACACACATTCATACACAATCACACACACACACGCGGCTGTCCAAACAGACACGCATAAGAACATTCTGAGAAGCTGGAACAGGTGCGTGCTACAAGACAAGAAATAGTCATTAACGTCACTTCCTTCTTGCTCAGACTCAGCTGCGTTGAACAAGACAAGACCACATGAAGGACAAACATGCACATGGCCAGACAGCCATGACAATAATGGTGACTTATCTTTAAACTTCTGCTTGATATTTCTAGTTTTATCTACATGGAACTGTTCATGATACGCTTTACATTGTTATTTTAAACCATTGTGTGATAGAATAAAATCACACTTTACTTTTTATTTCAACGGCTTTCATTCATAATCGCCTCAAGACACTAAAGAAGTATTATATGTGTCAAAAATTCAACAACATGTGTCTGTGACTGTACATGTATGTGTGCGTGTACATGTATCTGTGTATGTATATGTGTCTGTATGTACGTACATGTATGTGTGTCTGTACATATGTCTGTGTGTGTATACATGTGTCCGTATGTGTGTGTGTACACATTTGTCTGTGCGTGTGTGTGCATATATATATATATACACACACGTCTGTGCGTACAGGTGTCTGTATGTAAACCTACATGTATGGGTGGTTTGGTCAGGTTCAGGATTATGTGGTTATTATGGGTGGTAGAGTATGGGCACCTGAGGTACTGCTGGGTTGGATAGTAGCTAGGATATGCTTGGTAGAGTTATGGTTTTGTGAGTAAAAGATTATGGGGGGTTATGGATGTATGCGGTACGTGGTCTAAGTATGATGGAGTGTTTAGGGGTACATTGGAGGCCCTAATGTAATGTGGGGGGACTCTGGGGACACAGATGTAATGTGAGGGGATCCTGATGTAATGTGAGGCGACCCTGATGTAATATGGGTAACATTTAACAGTGTCATTTCATGAAATAATTTACGAGGACGTGTTTAGGGGCGGAATTAGGGGCGAGGCAGGGTAAGGATTGAGTGAGGCAACTGGTGGCGAGTAACTCTTCAGGCTTGGCTAGTAGCTCAGGACTTGAAATTTTAAGCCCTGGTTACAGTAAACTTTTTTTATGTAGCCAGTACTGATAGAATTCTAAAAACAGCAGGCTCACTTAGGTCAAACAGCATGGCTAATATAATTAAAAAAATAATAATTTTTTTTTTCCTTTAACATGAACAAGTGTGGCTTACCCTTGCCCAATCTTTTCATATCTGGTATACTTCTTCTTAGGATCGCCTATGCTCACAATAGTTCCTACAAAGAAACATCACATGCCAGTTAGAGAGGTACTGCTAGGGTTCTGGCCGAGAATGGAACAGAAAATATGTAGAGCTAGACAAATTCCTGGAATACAAGTGCTGCAACAAGTACATATCTACATCTGGAACTTTTCTCCTTGAGCTGCTCTAACATGTAATAGATCTGTATCTGCCACACATATTTTAAAGGAAAAAACTACATTCTCTCATATCTATGTTTTCCTTTAAAATATAAAAGGTAGATATGGGTTTGCATATATGTAGAAGCAGCTCAAGGAGGAAAATGCCAGAAGTAGATTTATAGTGAAATCTACACTCCTTCCTTTAGCACATTATATTGGGTACGAAAAGTGATAAGCTTAATGGATATAACTTGTCAATGTATATTAAAACTGTACCTATAACCAATTTTTTAAAGTTCTTGATAAATAGTTAAAAGCACCCACCAGGTTTTTATTTTGGTGGTCTATGTGTTGTTCTGGAAATTTCCCTTTCCTTTTTGTTCCAGAGATGCAACAGGAAGTCAGAGAAATTTGTCAAAATAAGGGGAAATTTCCATCTTAGACAGCTGTCTCCTATGGAAGATTTCCACTCACCTGTTGTTCTAGGAAAAAATAACACGTGATAGTGCACTAAACTGAGTCCATCAAGTCCATATAAAAATAAAATGGATTCAAGAGTCTATGCAGAAAAATTCAACAAGAGCCAATTTACATCTTGATTCCAATATAGGATTTAACTGCCTTGGAGCCTTGCTGCTTCTGCAAACATCGGGCAGTAAAGAAACCGGTAAAAGAAAAAAAATAAAGAGGGGAAGCACTTCTACCTAACGCAGTAAATTCTTTTATTAAAATCAATTCAAAGTAATGCACTCGCTCTAGGATAGAACAATTTGCATACATTTTTCCATGACAATTGTACTGGTGAGTGCATTCCTTTTTTATTGTTGATTTTAATAAAATAATTTACTACACTAGGTATGTGTGCTTTCACTCTCTTTTTGAGTGTACAACACTTTAAAAAGTTTAGATTTCACTTCATGTTCTGTCTGTCTTGATGACAGAGATCAGGACAAACAATGTGGTAATGGGAACGCAGGCAGGAAGAAGGAGTTGAGATATACTTTAGACATCTTTCACACAGGGCAGATGCTACTTTGCCCAGCGTGAGATCTGTCCACTGATCCCCCGCAAAGTGGGCAGATGACAGGTCTGTGTCCACTCCATTTATGCAGACCGGACAAGGACAAAACCTGCTCTGCTCTATGGCTGGCCGGGTGCAAATGGATCAGCTAACCATTTACATTCAACTGCCCTACAATCCGATCCACCCTGCCTTTCGATCCTCCCAGATTGAGGGGAACGACGGACCCATCCTGTTTTTTTTTGTTTAGCGCATCAGATTGGAGGCAGGCCGGTGTTAAACGGATACAAATCAGTTTACATCCATCGCTACATATAAGAGAATGGAGGGTCCGATCAGTTCCACCTGAAAAACTGAACAGGCAGACCCAACCAAACCAACTATGTGAAAGGGGCCTTAAAAGTTCCAAAAAAACCTTTGCAACCATTGTGCTTTGTATCCTACCATTGTGCGATAAACTTCATATTCTGGACAACGCCACACTGTACACTGTGCTGGAACTGCGATACTGTAAACTCCCCCATTCTGCACATTGTACAGTACTTTACAAGCCAGTATACAGCTGACTCTCTCTGAATTAATCAACATTTGTATACAGCATCCAGAGATTTAATACAATGTGTTCTCTAGGAGGTACAAAACATATAGTATATATCCTAAATTAGTATTAAGGCAGGATTAAACCCAAAAACAAACACTCTGCAGTTTACCAATTCTTATGTGATAACTGCAATTTCTTTTTTTATGCTTTTTGTTCTTCTATTTTCACCTAATGATCCAGTCAGTACAGCTGTTCTTCAAAAGAACAAGCTCTCTTGCAGATGTATCAAGGTAAAAAGGGATGAGACAAACAATTCAACACTGCTAGAAGTGCTTACAAAGATCAGCTTTATCCCTTTATCCCAAAAAGGAAAAAAAATGTTTTTCTGTAACTGCTTATAACATGTTAGCTAGACTTTGGATTCAATTTGTTAGTGTATCTAAATCTGCTAGTATACCCAACACACCCCTCCCCTTCAAACTGACAATGCTGTTGTCCAAATGTTCCCCTGGTGCTCCTTCATCTAGAGTGGGAGTACTCTAATACAGGAGATGTGTTACTGGCCAGACTGCCAGGTGAAAACAGAGGGCAAAAAAAGGAAAGAGGGAAAAAGTCTACAAGAACACAAATGCAGCCACCACACCTAATGATATTTAAGCTGCAATATATAATAAGGTTTGGTTTTGGGTTTAATAACGCTTTAAGAGAAACACATGCTGCTTACGGAGTTTTTCCATGATCTCTTCATCACTCATCTTTGTCTTCTTTTTTTGCCTGTCTGCACCCTTTGCCGTACTGTCTGCATCACCAGCAGGGGGAGGTATTGGGTCGATTACAGATCGGGTGTATATCTTTTAGACGGAAAAGAAACATTCAGAACTTAGTTCATAATGAATAAGCACATGTAATCATATGACATAAAATAATAACGGATTACACAAGTCCAGAGTTTGTCAGAGGGATACAAACCCACCCCATCTACAACTGCTATGAGTGAAGCAGGGGTAGCCAACCTCAGAACTCTAGCTGTTGTGGAACTACAAGTCCCATGAGACACTGCAAGACAAACATAACCACAGGCATAACTCCCAGAAGCATACATGGGATTGAAGATTCATCACACCGGGAGCACCAAGGTTGCCTACCCCTGTTTTAGAGAGTCTCACACTGGTTACATGAAAAAATACTGCAGGACAGAGAATCCCTCATTTGTTGTTGTAAGGGCTACAGTAAGCTGAAAATCAACTTTTCTTGGAAATTCTAAAGAGATTAAGGAATCCAATAGCTAATGACAGCCATAACCTTCCATTCAAAAATATCACTTTGTTTGGGTTTAACCTTTTAATCTATGCATTAAGGTTAAAAAAAAAAAAAAAAAAAAAAAAAAAAAAAAAAAAAAAAAAAATTGCAGCTCGATAACCCCCCCCCCCCCTCGGCTTTCTCACTTCTCATTGGCTCCCGCTGCTGTCAATCACAGCAGGCAAGTATGACAACAAAAAAAATAGCTTTAGAATCATTTAAATGAGCCGCAAATGAGCTTAAAAACAAACCTCATGGACCTCTGTAGCTGCAGACACCGGAGAAATATTTAAATATATCCTCAGTTTAGAACAGAGGCACTGAAATCACAGCTTTCCCAGCAGGGACTTGGCAGCCTGCCAGCCTTCTGATATAAATGGGCTCATATCTACAAGTGTGAAGGGGCCCTTAGCTGTCAAACAGTTGATTGCTAGAAAAAAAACGGATAGGAGCTCACTGGCCACTGAGATCAAACTCTTTATGACATAATCTCATTATGGACGGGTAAAAAAATAAATAAATAAAAAAAAAAACCCCCAAAAATCCTAAAACCTAATTACACAGATTAAACCAGAATAAAATTATGAACTACAAGCAGAATACATACAAAAGGGCAACAAAAGTGAAAGTATTGTTTGCATAGGTAAAATAGTTTACAGGTATTTTGTCTTGCACTGTAAACACAATTACGGAACAGAAAATGTCATGTGACCAAGATACCACTCACAGATTTTGTATGTTCAGGACGAGGAGCAATAATTGGAGGTGGAGCATCATCATCTTCTGTATCTGAATGTCTTGTGGGTTCAGTCCCTTTTGCATTTGGCTAAAGAAAATGGGTAAGGAATTTGGTTAGTAGTTCTACACGTAACATTGGGCAGGTTTAGCCAAAATGTATGAAAATTAGGTAATACTCACAGCAGGCGATACCCCAGAGGGAAGGCCATCTTTATCTATAGGAAACACAGCACATTTAAACACAGTGTAATGTCATCTTAAGAACAACAGTTCCTCAAGTAGTAATAAAATATTAAAGCCATTCATGCCCCACAGTCTATCAAGGCTAGAAAAGCTCCAGGGACCACAGTCAACTTTTTTGTAACCTCAGATTTTTTTTTTTCCATGTAAATACAAACCCTGGCTATTTAAAACAGTTTTGATTCCTCCACAGGCTCCTGAATTTTATAATCATTTCTCCACCTTTAGAATTCTGTCAAAAAAGTCAAAACTCCTCTTAGTGTAAAAAAAATAAAAAAAATAAAACACACCTCACAAACCAGTCTTGAATGGGTTAGGGCAAGAATCTGAATATTTAGCTTTCAATAAAACTGTGAAAGTTTACTTGTATGTCACGCTAAGACATGCTGCCTTTAGTTGGCGCAACTTAACTGGATACACAAGGCCTTACCTGGTGCTGAAAAACTCAGGTATTTCTGCTTCGCAGTGTCCTTTGAGTCGTAAAATTTAAGCACATCCAGCACAGCCTGCGGGTTCTTCTTCTGTTCTAGCTTTGTGATATTTGATGTTTGCAACAGTCGTGCCCACTGTTCTGGCATTCCCTGTGAAATGGGATGAGACAGTCAACTTTCCACTTGTGAGTTCACCCTCTTGCACATGTTCAATTAAAGTGTTACTAAACCGACAACAATAAAATCAGTCTGTATATGCTGGTTATACTGTGGAACCTAAAGGGTTAATCCTCTGCATTGTGTAAAAAAGGCAGATTGATCCTGTCTTCTCTGCTCCTCCTCTTGTTCAAATGTCCACGTTTTATCTCCTGATAAGACAAACTGAGCTGTAACCATTCTGCACATGCTCAGTTTAGTGCGTATTGCTAGAGAGGTTTTTGTTTTTTTTCCTTGGGAGAGTGCATGTGATCAGCACAGGGCCAATTAGCACTGTCCAGACAGAGGTCAGTGGTTCTGCATCCTCTTAAAATGAAAACTCCTCTTACAAGCTTTAGTCAGTGCGCTGCTGGACACTGCTAGAAGTCACAAGACTGCTCTAACTGCTGATGAGAAAAGGTATTTAGCCATGTATATTCACTAAAATAATTGCATTTGCATGTTCTGTGTACTGTGGGAGACCAGATATAGTGAATGCATGTCCTGGGTTTAGTAACACTTTAATGTATTTGCCTTTTAACTGCCATGTGCAAAAAAATCAAATTGAAAAATTAAAATGACTATTTTCATATAAACAGGCTTTATAACCCTAGTATATTAAAAAAAAAAAAAAAAAACCTGCAACCTTTTCTGTAGAGGAAAAAAAAATACAACACTGCTTATCATATGCACATGGATAAAATCAATATACTGTACTTGTGGCAGATTAAAAAAATAATAGTAATGAAATGTGGTTGGTTAATCCTCAGAAAGACACAGATAAACAGGAACTATTTATCTTTGAAAAGATTATGGAATAGGAGAGATTACATCTAGGACTTTAGTTTGGAGAATTGCAGCATGCATACCATTTTATATACAGTCAGGTCCATAAATATTGGGACATTGACACAATTCTAACATTTTTGGCTCTATACACCACCACAATGCATTTGAAATGAAACAAACAAGATGTGCTTTAACTGCAGTGTCAGCTTTAATTTGAGGGTATTTACATCCAAATCAGGTGAACGGTGTAGGAATTACAACAGTTTGCATATGTGCCTCCCACTTGTTAAGGGACCAAAAGTAATGGGACAATTGGCTTCTCAGCTGTTCCATGGCCAGGTTTGTGTTATTCCCTCATTATCCCAATTACAATGAGCAGATAAAAGGTCCAGAGCTCATTTCAAGTGTGCTATTTGCATTTGGAATCTGTTGCTGTCAACTCTAGAGATGAGATACAAAGAGCTTTCACTATCAGTGAAGCAAGCCATCATTAGGCGAAAAAACGAAACCAACCCATCAGAGAGATAGCAAAAACATTAGGCGTGGCCAAAACAACTGTTTGGAACATTCTTAAAAAGAAGGAACGCACCGGTGAGCTCAGCAACACCAAAAGACCCGGAAGACCACGGAAAACAACTGTGGTGGATGACCGAAGAATTCTTTCCCTGGTGAAGAAAACAGCCTTCACAACAGTTGCCAGATCAAGAACACTCTCCAGGAGGTAGGTGTATGTGTGTCAAAGTCAACAATCAAAGAAGACTTCACCAGAGTGAATACAGAGGGTTCACCACAAGATGTAAACCATTGGTGAGTCTCAAAAAACAGGAAGGCCAGATTAGAGTTTGCCAAACGACATCTTAAAAAGCCTTCACAGTTCTGGAACAACATCCTATGGACAGATGAGACCAAGATCAACTTGTACCAGAGTGATGGGAAGAGAAGAGTATGGAGAAGGAAAGGCACTGCTCATGATCCTAAGCATACCACCTCATCAGTGAAGCATGGTGGTGGTAGTGTCATGGCGTGGGCATGTATGGCTGCCAATGGAACTGGTTCTCTTGTATTTATTGATGATATGACTGCTGACAAAAGCAGCAGGATGAATTGTGAAGTGTTTCGGACAATATTATCTGCTCATATTCAGCCAAATGCTTCAGAACTCATTGGACGCCACTTCACAGTGCAGATGGACAATGACCCAAAGCATACTGCAAAAGCAACCAGAGTTTTTTAAGGGAAAGAAGTGGAATGTTATGCAATGGCCAAGTCAATCACCTGACCTGAATCCAATTGAGCATGCATTTCACTTGCTGAAGACAAAACTGAAGGGAAAATACCCCAAGAACAAGCAGGAACTGAAGACAGTTGCAGTAGAGGCCTGGCAGAGCATCACCAGGGATGAAACCCAGCGTCTGGTGATGTCTATGTGTTCCAGACTTCAGGCTGTAATTGACTGGAAAGGATTTGCAACCAAGTATTAAAAAGTGAAAGTTTGATTTATGATTATTCTGTCCCATTACTTTTGGTCCCTTAACAAGTGGGAGGCACATATGCAAACTGTTGTAATTATTACACCGTTCACCTGATTTAGATGTAAATACCCTCAAATTAAAGCTGACAGTCTGCAGTTAAAGCACATATTGTTCGTTTCATTTCAAATCCATTGTGGTGGTGTATAGAGCCAAAAATGTTAGAATTGTGTCGATGTCCCAATATTTATGGACCTGACTGAAGGTCTTTGCCTCAGCCTTACTTCATGTGTTACAGTGCTGAAATATTCACTTCAGCTCCACGATTCCATACTTACAGTGAATTCCCCAGTCACAGCATCGAACCCTACATGTATGGTGTGCTCAAAGTCAGAGGGCGGAGAGATCTCAGGACGCTCTTTCTTTTTGCCCACTGTTGAGAGAAAATCATGAAGAATGAGGGATCCTTCTTGCTACCCAAGCAATATAAATACTGTATGTAGACAATGTTGTGTCGGAATTATTATTTCTGAGGTTCATGTAATTTCTTAAGGGAAACAGTGGAGAGCCGTTCACTCTGCTGTGAGCATTCCACCCAGAGTTTAGCTCCATAAACAGCAAATCCAAATAACAGTGGAAAGTTGGTCACATATGCTCCGAACAAATCACAAAATTAAATATTTGTACATCTATGTACCAAGAGCTTTGGCATGAAGGCCTTGCTGACTGAATATGATGGATTTTCTTCAGTTAAACCATAAACACCATAAAGTCCAGGCTTCATGAAACTTTATATAGTTGGCCCAAATGAACTATTTTCATTAAGAAGTTACTTGGCGGCTGTGAGTGCTATATCAGCAGCTACATACAATATGCACAATACTGTGTTTCGGCAGCACTACAGGTTTCTTCCGGTTTGCTGACGGAACAAAATTGAGCCAGGCTGAGTGTTTCTTAGTTATTCAAAAGGAAGCTTCTGTACTTTATTAATGAATATGCTTCCTCTGGTTAGCCTGAGTGGAGAGATGGGCAGATGATGTCACGGTCTCTACTTTGGCCAGTCTTTAAGTTTATGCACCCACAGGAACGATTTAGTCTGGCTAGTTGTCAAACAGAGGGAACACAATGGCTCCTAGGAGTACTAATCCAACAACTCTGATATGCTTGTATACCAGTTCAAACTAAACTCCACTAATCAACTAGTTGAAGAATTAGGCCTCATTCACACTATGGCTGAGGTCCATATAGTGGCCTTCTTTAACCTCTAGGTGCTGCATGCACGCACTGAAATCTATAAGGATGCAGCAGTTGCATGGACAACCTGAACAAGCATGCTGCTTAGAAGTTGAGGGATGGATTTTGTTGTGACCAAGTGCTCAATGTAAAACAAAAACCCAATAACCACATGAAAAACAAAAATAAAAACATATAACAGAGTTTATAACCCTATCCCTACTCTATCGAAAATGGAAAAAAGGAAAGTTTTGCCTTCGAATCAATTTTAACGTAAAGTTACCAACATATCTTTTTGGAGCAAACAAGGGGCTCCCTTGCCAAAAATGTCTTGTAAAAATTGCTTTATTTTTATATGGAACCTATAGACAGAAGGTGTAGCAAAGAAACTAACCACAGACAAAATTACCACTGCTATTCTCAACACTAATTTGTTCCATTGAAAATACTAACATTATGTTACGACTGCAAAGCAAGGCGAAGCATTTCTTTTTTTTTTTTTTTGTTTTTAAATGAGTCATTAAAAATAAAAAAATCAGCAGCAAAATAATAGTGGAGGAGAGAGAGAAGTTAACTAGGGATGCTTATGGTTAACTAAGGAGTAACAAAGGGTTAGAAAGGAACAAAGTTTATTTTGTAACTTGCAAGGCTGGTTTAACTGCTATTACATGCAGATCAAAGATCACCCCTCTGATATGCTATTACTGAATCAGATTATTTACAATGTAGCAAAATAACAATGCTACATTACAACAGTATCATTAAATTGATATTGCAGACGCTGTTCTGACAGTTTACAAAGTGGTAGCAGAAGGATAGGGGTACCGCAAACGCCTACAAAATTTAGATGAAGCTTTTTGGCATGTGCAAGGCATTCCCAAAGTTCAAGACTGGTTGAAGTATATGTACTTGTCAATTAAAATTTAAAACCAGATTGTCGATTTTGTAATCATGCAAGGGAGGCTGATTTTCTACCCATGATGGCCCACATATTAGTAATCAGAACAAGTTCAAAGTGTGTTCCACGTGTTGTTTTTAAAAATCTATTTTAACTGGTTGCCAGCCAGCCACAGTACATATACTGCAGCAGAGTGGCACCGCTGCGCAAAATCACGTATATATATATACGTGATTTTGCATATCGGGTAGGGGGCACGCGCGAAGCGCACAACCGCCCTACCCGCACCGCCAATCGTGGCCACGGGTGTCAATCACTGGGTCCCGGCCGGTCATTACCCGCCATAGCCCGCGATTACCGGCAAACACTGATAGAGAGGAAGGTTGCAGTGTTTACACTGCAGCTCTCCTCCCTGTCAGTTTCCAGCACACTGTTCTGGAGAGCGGATTTCATGCTCCTGTATGTGGTAACCCCATACTCGGTAGAAGTAGCATAATGTATTTTGGGGTGTAATTCCACATATACCCATGGCTTGTGCGAGAAATAAATCATTTAAAATGACAAGTTTGTGCAAAAAAAAATTTTTTTTTTGTAATTTTCCAGAAACTTGTGGAAAAAAAAATCTTCCATGGACTAAATATGCCTCTCAGCTGATAGCTTAGGGTGTCTACTTTCCGAAAAGGGGTCATTTGGGGGTGTTTGTACTATCCTGGTATTTTTGCACCTCAAAAAAAAAAATGTGATAAGCAGTCAGAAAGTAAAAGCTATGTAAATTCCATTATCTATACCATAGTTTGTAGACGTTATAACTTTCACACAAAGCAATCAATATACACTTATTGGGATTTTTTTTAACCAAAAAATGTAGTAGAATACATTTTGGCCTAAATTTATGATGAAATTGTAGTTTTTTTTTGGATATTTTTTATGACCAAATTGAGAAAATATTGTTTTTTTCAAAAATGTTTTTTTTTTCTTAAAAATTTTTTTGGTTATAGCGCCAAAAATAAAAATCGCACAGGTGATCAAATACCACCAAAAGAAAGCTCTATTTGTGTGAAAAAAGGACAAATTTCATTTATGTACCGTATTGCATGACTGCTCAATTGTCTGTTAAACAAGTGCAGCGCTGTCTAGCAAACAAATGGCGTAAATTGCAGTATCTATAGTTTGTAGACGCTATAAAGTTCACACAAATCAATCAATATACACTTATTGGGACTTTTTTTGTACCAAAAACATGTAGCAGAATATATTTTGGCCTAAATTTATAACTAACTTTGAGTTTACTATATATTTTTTTATAGCCAAAAGTAAAAAATATCGTTTTACTTCACAATTTTCAGTCTTTTTTTGTTTACAGCGTGAAAAAAAAAAATCAAAGTGCACGGGTGATCAAATACCACGTAAATATCATTTGGGTACAGCATTGCATGACTGCGCAATTATCAGTTGAATTAGTGCAGTGCCGAGTAGCAAAAAGAGCACTGGTCATTAAGGGGGGTAAATCCTCTGGAGGGCAAGTGGTTAAAAGGTCAGGATAAGTAAATATTGTCTAAATCCATGTTTCTGAAGTAGTGTGTCGCGACCAGGGCAGCACGGGTGCACAAAATCACATATATATACAGTTGCAAGAAAAAGTATGTGAGCCCCTTGGGATTCGGTGGAGTTTTGCATGAATTGGGCATAAAATGTGCTCTGAACGTCATCTAAGTCACAACAATAGAAGAGCACAGTCTGCTGAACATAATATTACACAAACATTGGATGTTGCCATGGTTTAATTGCACATAACATGTAAACATTCACAGTGTAGGGAGGAAAAAGTATGTGAGGCCCTAGCTTAATGACTTCTCCCAGAGCTAATTGGAGCCAGGAGTGAGCCAACCTTTGACTCCAATCAGTGTGATATTGGATGTGTTGCTGACAGCTGTCCTGCCCTTAAACACACACCTGTTTTGGGTTTACTGGTTTCAAGAAGCACTGTCTGATGTGAACCATGCCTCGCAGAAAAGAGCTCTCAGAAGACCTACGATCCAGAATTGTTGACTTGCATGAAGCTGGAAAGGGTTACAAAAGTATCTCCAAAGGCCTTGATGTTCATGTGTCCACGGTAAGACAGACTGTCTACAAATGGAGAAAGTTTAGCACTGTTGCTACTCTCCCTAGGCGTGGTCGTCCTGTAAAAATGACTGCAAAAGCACAGCGCAGAATGCTGCATGAGGTAAAGAAGAATCCCAGAGTGTCAGCTAAAGACCTACAGAAATCTCTGGCACATGCTAACATTTTTGTTGACACATCTACAATAAGGAAAACATTAAACAAGAATGGAGTACATGGGAGGACACCACGGAGGAAGCCATTGCTGTCCTAAAAGAATATTGCAGCACGTTTGAAGTTTGCAAAAGAGCACCTGGATGTTCCACAGCACTACTGGCAAAATATACTGTGGACAGATGAAACCAAGATTGAGTTGTTTGGGAAGAACACACAACACTATGCGTGGAGAAGAAAAGGCACAGCACACCAACATCAAAACTTCATCCCCACTGTAAAACATGGCGGAGGGAGCATCATGGTTTGGGGCTGCTTTGCTGCCTCAGGGCCTGGCGTATTGTTGTCATTGATGGGAAAATGAATTCCAGAGTTTATCAAGACATTTTGCAGGAAAACGTACAACCATCTGTCCGCCAACTGAAGCTCCGCAGAGGATGGGTGACGCAACAGGACAATGACCCACAGCATACAAGTAATTCAACAAAACAATGGCTGCAACAGCACAGAATATGCCTTCTGGGGTGGCCCAGTCAGAGTCCTGACCTCAACCCGATTGAAATGCTGTGGCATGACCTTAAGATAGCGATTCACACCAGACATCCCAAGAATATTGCTACACTGAAACAGTTTTGTGAAGAGGAGTGGTCCAAAATGACTCCAGATCGTTGTGCAGGTCTGATCTGCAACTACAGGAAACGTTTGGTTGAGGTTATTGCTGCCAAAGCAGGGTCAACCAGTTATTAAGTCCAAAGGTTCACATACTTTTTCCTCCCTGCACTGTGAATGTTTACATGTTATGTGCAATTAAACCATGGCAACATCTAATGTTTGTGTAGTATTATGTTCAGCAGACTGTGTTCTTCTATTGTTGTGACTTAGATGACGTTCAGAGCACATTTTATGCCCAATTCATGCAAAACTCCACCTAATCCCAAGGGGTTCACATACTTTTTCTTGTAACTGTACACATGATTTTGCATTTCCAGGTACAGGGCGCACGCCCTACTTGCACCGCTATTCGTGGCTGTCAATCACCGGGTCCCGGCTGATGATTACTCGCCAGCGCCCAGTGATTGCCGAGGATCTCTGACGGGGAGAACTGTTTGTAAACAAAACAGTACTCCACCCTTTCAGCCCATGTACACTGCTTTGCATGGCTGTGCAACAGTAAATCTCATTTGGGTGCAGTGTTGCATGAACTGTCAAAGTAACGCAGCACCAACGCAAAAAATGGCCTGGTCGGGGGGGTAAATACTCTGGAGGGCAAGTGGTTAATGCCCCACTTATATTTTGTATTATTGCGGCCAGCCAGTCCTATTAAAGGTGGTGCACACACAAAATGGTCCCATGGCCCTTGCGCTCATTCCTCCTTCCTACGTGGCAGCGCTGGGAGAAAGTGACAGAACTACACTTCCTTCCAGCCAGCCGGCTGAAAGTGTGCATGAAAGGGGAGAACTGAAGCAAACCATGAAAGGTGAGGGCATGGAAAAGGAGTCAAGGTGGGTAATTAAAGGTGTGAAAGGGGGATAAGGAAAGAGCATAAAAGGGGAAAGGAAGGGGGGCATGAAAGGGTGAACTAAAGCAGGACATGGAAGGTAGGATTTAAAGGAGTGCATGAAATGGGGGGGACGGACTCACACAAACATTGTACACACTATATATACTTATTTTAAAAGCCACTGAAGACAATAATACTCTTAACTTGCCTTTGAGAGAGTGAGTGGTGGAGGAGGCATTGCTCAGCTTAATGGACTATTAGTGTGAAGCAGAGGGGAATCGCTTAACGACAGCCCTATAGCAGATATACTGCTACAGGGTGGCACCTGTGTGCAGAATCGCGTATATACAGGTGAAACTTGAAAAATTTGAAAATCGTGCAAAAGTTAATTTCAGTAATGCAACTTAAAAAGGTGAAACTAATATATGAGATAGACTCATTGCATGCAAAGCAAGATAGTTCAAGCCGTGATTTGTCATAATTGTGATGATTATGGCTTACAGCTCATGAAAACCCCAAATCCACAATCTCAGAAAATTAGAATATTGTGAAAAGGTGCAATATTCTAGGCTCAAAGTGTCCCACTCTAATCAGCTAATTAAGCCATAACACCTGCAAAGGGTTCCTGAGCCTTTAAACGGTCTCTTAGTCTGGTTCAGTAGGAATCACAATCATGAGAAAGACTGCTGACCTGACAATTGTGCAGAAAACCATCATTGACACCCTCCATAAGGAGGGAAAGCCTCAAAAGGTAAAAGCAAAAGAAGTTGGATGTTTACAAAGTGCTGTATCAAAGCACATTAGTAGAAAGTTATGTGGAAGGGAAAAGTGTGGAAGAAAAAGGTGCACAAGCAGCAGGGATGACCACAGCCTGGAGAGGATTGTCAGGAAAAGGCCATTCAAAAGTGTTGGGGACTTTCACAAGGAGTGGACTGAGGCTGGAGTCAGTGCATCAAGAGCCAGCACACACACAGACGGATCCTGGACATGGGCTTCAAATGTCATATGCCTCTTGTCAAGCCGCTCCTGAACAACAAACAACGTCAGAAGCGTCTTACCTGGGCTAAAGAAAAACAGACCTGGTCTGTTGCTCCTCTTCCAAAGTCCTCTTTTCTGATGAGAGCAACTTTTCCATCTCATTTGGAAATCAAGGACCCAGAGTATGGAGGAAGAATGGAGAGGCACACACTGCAAGATGCTGGAAGTCCAGTGTGAAGTTTCCACAGTCTGTTGATTTGGGGAGCCATGTCATCTGCTGGTGTTGGTCCACTGTGCTTCATTAAGTCCAGGGTCAACACAGCCGTCTACCAGATTTTGGAGCACTTCATGCTTCCTCCCGCAGACGAGCTTTATGGGGATGCTGACTTCATTTTCCAGCAGGACTTGGCACCTACCCACACTGCCAAAAGCACCAAAACCTGGTTCAATGACCGTGGGATTACTGTGCTTGATTGACCAGCAAACTCGCCTGACCTGAACCTCATAGAGAATCTATGGGGCATTGCCAAGAGAAAGATGAGAACCATGAGACCGAACAATGCAGAAGAGCTGAAGGCCGCTATTGAAGCATCTTGGTCTTCCATAACACCTCAGCAGTGCCACAGGCTGATAGCTTCCATGCCACGCCGCATTGAGGCAGTAATTGCTGCAAAAGGGGCCCAAACCAAGTACCGAGTACATATGCATGCTTATACTTTTCAGAGGTCCGATATTGTTCTATGTACAATCCTTGTTTTATTGATTGTATGTAATATTCTAATTTTCTGAGATTGTGATGATTATGGCTTGACTGCTCATGAAAACCCCAAATCATCACAATTATGACAAATCACGGCTTGAACTATCTTGCTTTGCATGTAATGAGTCTATCTCATATATTAGTTTCACCTTTTAAGTTGCATTACTGAAATAAATGAACTTTTGCACGATATTCAAATTTTTCGAGTTTAAACCTGTATATAATGGCAATTTACATTTCCGGGTAGAGGGTGCGTGCATGCCTTACCCGCATTGCCATCTGTGGCCACCAATGTCAATTACCGGGTCCCGGACGGTAATTACCCACCGGCACCCGGTGATTACTAAGCATCTCCGACGGGAAGGAAGATTGTTTTGTTTACAAACAATCTTCCTCCCTGGCAGCTCAAACACACTGCTCGGGATGGCTGTACACAATCATCCCAAGCAGTGTGCTTAAAGTGAAGAACAGCCCCCCGCACCCTAGTAAAACACTCCCAGCACACAATTAACCCTTTGATCACCCCTCCCATTAACCCCTTCCTGCCCAGTGCCCTTAGTACAGTGTCAGTGTTTTTTTTTGTTTTTTTTAAGCACTGATCACTGTATTGGTGTCTCTTTGGTGTCAGTGACACCAAGTTAGTTCCCCCCAGTGTCTTAATGTCCACCGCAGTCCCGCTATAAATCGCTGATCTCTGCCACTACTAGTAGAGGAAAGAGAATACCATTATCTATACCGCCATTTGTAAACATAACTTTCGTGTAAACCAATTCATTTACACGTATTGGGATTTTTTTTTTTTCTAGCAAAGACATGTCGCAGACTACATTTTTGCCTAAATTTATGGCAAAAATCAGATTTTTTTTTTTTTTACATTTTTTACTGGACATGTTTAATAGCAAAAAGTCAAAAACATTGGTTTTTTTTTCCCTCAAAATTGTCGGTCTTTTTTTGCTTATAGCGCAAAAAATAACCACACAGGTGATCAAATACCACCGAAAGAAAGCTCCATTTGTGGGAACAAAAGGACGTAAATTTCATTTGGGTGCAGCAATGCATAACTGAGCAATTGTCAGTTAAAATAACGCAGCGCCGTAACACAAAAAAATGGCCTGGTCATGAAGGGAGGTAAATCCTCAGGAGGGCAAGTGGTTAAAGTTAGGGGGTATTGGTGATTTTGTTATTTTATGTATGCTTGAAATATTTAAGTCTAAAAAAGTGTTTTGTTATGCAATTTTCTTGCCATGTTTTTTTTTTTTTTTTAAATGGGAAAGGGGTGGGGGGTGGGAGAGAAGAATTGCTGCATCATGGGCCTATGTGTGGTACTCGCCCCCCCAGGCCAAAAGTTGCCAGTCATCAGCCCCTGCTTTAACCCCCTCACGAGAGTGATGTACAAAGTACGCTGCTAAGTGTCTGCGACTACAAGTGCACATTATATTCCACCTGGCGAACCAGGTGAATACTCAACTTTTTTGTTTAAAATTACATAATTTAGCAAAACAAAAAAAAAAAAAAAAAGTAAATGCATCACAATTTTTTTTTTTTTACCTCAACAGCACTTTCATTTTCACTAGTGCAGCGATTTTTTGGAAGGAAGCTGTTTGTTTACAGTTTAAAAAGTGCATATACATTGTACAATACTGCACAAGTTGTTTTGTGAAATAAATTATGTTTCAGAAATTAAATAGTTTTTGGGTCGTTACTTAATGACCAAGGACAAATGTGGGTCCTGAGGTTCCACAGGTTGAAAACCACAGGTCTAAATACATTTATCATGTTTATTCTTCCTTGAATCTTCTTTCAGATTTGTGCAGTGATACAATGTGAATTCTAAGTCTGTGCAGAGCTTCATGCAATAAAGACTGGTCACTGCTGCTCTTTCATTGTACAGAGTGACTAGTCTGGTTTCCATCCACAAATGGTAGTTTTCAGCAGGTAGCCTTTAGTGGATGGGGCTGCTGGGCCCCTCCCACAGCTCTGCTCTCTGTACAAGCCAAGTATTGGACTGTGATGATGCCACTGCTACTTTTACAAAGTAAAATCAGACTTGCAAAAGGCATTTTGTGCATGCAAAGAGGCTTTAAAGCTTGTATTGCTGTTGAGGAATAGAATTAAACAGTTTTGTGCCTAGAGTTCAGCTTTAACATTATTTTTTTTTAATTCCATAGCTTCCAAGTACAATCATAAAAACATACTTTTTTCATTGCTAGAGAAGATGGATAACATTTTATTTCTTGAAGATTTTCTTTCCTCAGGGATCAGTGGAAGGGGTTTAAGGCTGTGATTACTTGACAAGGGGTCCTTCAACCCAGAACCGAAGACTGTTGCGCTGCTTATCCGCACTGGAGGGGCTGGTGGCTTATCTTCGAGTTCTCCGTTGTCAGACATCATTGGTGCAGCTCAGACCTAGGGTTACAAGAGAGAACGGGTCAGTGTGTCTAATAATCCTGAATGGATTTTACTTTTTTTTTTTACATTCAATAATTATAAATAGCAGACTTGTTCAAAGCTAATCAGCAACCTTGTACACAGTTAAGCGCTCAAATTTATGTCCGAGTACAGTTATTTACATGTATACACACTACCTATGAGCGTACAGGTGTAAACTGAAAATCAGCCAGCTAGATGAGGACAAACAAGAATTTTAGGTGTATATAGCGAGGTCTACACAGAACATAACTAGCATTTTTGCTACATATTCTGCCAACCCCTGACATCAAGATCCTGCATATAAAGATCAGTAACTATTATGTCTGTATACAAAAGACCTTAGAAAGAATATACACCTACAGTAGTGCTAGAGCATAGAAGTTTTAGAACGTCTGTCTGTGTCTCCTAGGAAATGCTTCTCTTTTTGAACAAATATTTCTCCTATTAGCTGTGCCACCAAACACTTTCAATAAAGAGAAATTAGACTCCAAGTCTCTGCAGAAACCAACAATTTGGGTCAATCTTCTATCGTGCTCAGTCCATCCTGCCGCCCACTCTTAGGCCCCATGTACACGGGACACTTCTGAACAATGGAAACTGACTGCTGGAAAACGCAGGTTAATAAACGCCTGTTTAGCCACGTTTGCATAATGCGTTTATGTGCGTTTGGAAGAGTTTTTTTTTAAAGAAAAGCACAGGAGAACCTCCCAAATGCCCAGAATGCACTGAAAAGTGGTAAATTATAAACTATTTCAGACTGTTTCAGAGAAATACACAGAGTAGAAGCAGAGACAGCAGTATGTGTTGAGATTAGCTTAGGTGTGAATTGCTCATTAACATTTTTTTTCTTTCCAAGGGTGGGAAAGGTGTCTGGTGGAGTGAGTCATTAAGGCCACCTGGCAGGGGGCCTTCATTAGGAATTTGAGGCATGAATGGTCATTAAGATATCTTTTGTTTCCAAGGGTGGGAGAGGGTCTGAGGTGTGAATTGGTCATTACAATGTGTGACAAGCTTGGTAGGAACATCCTGTGTTCAGGGTTTTGTCCATCTGAGTACCTTGAAAACACTTTGCATGCATTTTTCATGATGAAAAAAGGCTCTGGACAGCATCGGGAACTGGAAGAGTTAAAAAAAAGTTGCAAACGCTTATAAACCAAATTTGCCGCGTTTACAAGCGTTTTGCGTTTGAAACACTGATAAAAATAGACTGCTGAACGCAAGTTTTCTGCGTTCAAAAAAACTACTGTAAACGACTGTAAATGAAGATGTGTACATGGACACATAGGAAAACATTAGGGTGAGTTCAGGGGCTGCTGAAAAAAACGCTGAACAGCTCCTAAATGTGAGTTTACCAGCTGCAGTGTGCAGCAGCCCTTGTGTCCCCACAGGTCAGGACACCGTAGTAATGTTGGTGGCGACGAGAGGAGCAAGCCTCGACCCAAAAGGAGTTAGGAACTCCATCTAAGCCCATGTGAGACAGCATACAAGCGTGTCGATTGGCTACCGAGGCTGACTTGTGGCTTTGTGGACTTTCTGGTTTTAAACCCAAAAACAATACATTAAAAAAAAACCAAAAAACTAATTTTTCAAACTGATTTGCAAAATCTAACTTCATAATGCAATTCAGCACAAGGTAGGCATACAGACTGGGAAATATGAGCATATGGTTTAAAAGAAAGAATTGCACACAGCAGGAGTATAACATTTCTTGGTAAAACCCCTTTTGTGTAGCTTTACTGGAAACACTAAACATCGATCACCGGAGTCTATTGTGGCGTTTAGTGTCTGTAAAAGGAAATGAACATATGCCACAATATATTCATTCTTACACTCTGACCTTCAAACACAGCAAAAAACAAATTAAATGCAATGTCATTTTATTCTGTCTATATGTGAAAATGAATAGTCAAAATTGAACAGCATCAGGCCTCATTCACATTGGCAGTCCTGCACTGAGCTTTTCTAAACACAGGAGACATTGTCTAGATGCTTAAGCAACTTTTAGGTCTCCCAGATCACTTTTTCCTGATTTAGAGGTTCCTGCTTTACAGCATGTTTAGCTGTGTTTACATGCATTTCGTGTTTAATCAGATCCTGGACTCGCCAAATTTTATTTTCTCTTTTTTCTAAGCTTTGGGTAGAGTAGGAAAGGATTAGGATCCTGGTCAAGCTGTTACTACTTCAGGGCTCTGAAAGATTTACCCTCACTTCCTGTCCTGCTTTCATCATTTTCCTAGACAAGAATTTAGCCGACTCTCCAACAAACATAGCTTGAAATAAAAATTCTTTCCATTCGTAGATTACAGGGAAGGCTAGAATTCCAGTCATACTTATTTCTGTCCATGTATCTGCGAAATAATTTTTCTATCTTCCTGTCTGGTAAAACAGAACAGGAAGTGAGGGGAAATCTTTGGAACAGAGCCTTGGATAGCAGTAAAATCCCAACAAGGGTTCTCACCATATTGGATTGACATACACTTTAAAGTTAAAGTAACTTTTTTTCCCTATACCTTTTAATGGTATAACCTTTAATAAAGGAAGTACAATGTTGTGCAGGCAGCTAGATCCGAAGAAATCTTCATTGCAGGGATGCCTGTTATCTTCCAGAATAAAGGGGGTTAATAGCTTCATCACCTGCCTTTTCAGATGAGAACCCAGTCCCTCCTTCCACTAAGTAATGCTCCTTCATTGCTTTCACTGCATGAAACATGATTTGTGAATGGGGGAAGAGAATCCTTTGGCTCCCCAGACTCTCCCCTATTCAAAGATTGGGACACAGGCAGTAAAGGCAATCATGGAACTTTTCTCAATAGAAAAAGAGGGATGAGGGGTTGGGTTCTTGTCCAGCAGCTCTGCCTGGAGCCTGAAGCTAATAACACCCCCTGTGCACAAGAAGTTCAGCCACAGGAAGAGGACAGGCATCACTGCAGTGAAGATTTTTTCCCGGATCCAGATGCCTGCACGACATACATCATTGCAAGTCCATTACGTAACTAAAGCTGTAAGAGCATTCTTTTGAACAAAAAAGTACAGCCTTGTTAAATGGAAATTTCACAACTGCAAACAAAACCAGATTTCAAAGTTATGCTTCTTGAACTCTCTGGCTATCTAGCTCGAAGGAATCTTTAAGTAGCATATTTTGGGCAGGGAAAACTTGTTCTGGGGCTTGCTGTTCCACCAAGACAAGAGTTTTCTAACATCCTAGCATCCTGTGAGGAACACCACTAGAACAGAGAATGTTTCATGTTCAGAGAATGTGCTATGTGGCTGACTGAATCAGATATGCAAGTTCTGTACTTGTTCCACACACACCTGTAAATTCCTGCTAGCTTCCTACACCCTGTTTGCTGGCCACAGAGGAAGTAAACACAAGTAGATGAAGTCAGGAAAGGTCCAACAACATAATTAGAATAAAGATGAGATGAGAATGACTTATATGGTACTGAAAAAAAGAAACACAAACCCTTCCTAAACCTAAAAGCGGACATTCTCCCTTTGCTACTTTATGCTCCGTCCTCTTTTATTGCATTTGTAAATGTTTTATTGATTTTTTATTTTTTTTAGCCCAAAATAACTGGCACTTCTGCCTTTTTCCTATAGGCAAAATGAGTGCTGCAGCTGCCTGCAGGGGCATTTAGGTCATGCATCCCAAGACACCCCAGGACAACCTACACCACACTGAAAATCACCAATCTAATGCACCATGATGTGTCATCAGGCAGCCATCTGCAAGAGAAGATAGTGGTACTGAACTCAGCGAGCAGCTAAAAAAAACCTGGATTTTTAATTAACACACTCAAGGTAAGAAGGGGGGAAAAAAAAAAAAATTTAAAGAAGGAAGGATCAGAGTTCCTCTTTAACAAACTCTGTCTGTTAGATTGTTTTCACCTACAAACGATTCTCTTACCTTTTCTAACAGAACAGGTGTCATAAGAAATGTTGATATCAGACATTAAAGAGAACTCCAGTACACCCCAGCAGCTTCTAAATTTATACAGGCATCTCTGAATAGGCCACTGAATTGCCTGAATTGCAAAAGTCAATACTTGTGCAGAACGTATATCCATAAATAAGTGGCTTCAAGGGCAAGCTTGAGTATTTTTACATAAGCTATAAGGTATGTACAAGCAGATTATGTTTTTTAATGTATTCTCTATGGAGGAAAGGCTGCCTTTACGCTTGACAAACTGTCAAGTATGCCGGTCTTGCTGACATCATATTGACCTGGAAATCATCCAAAGTCTGGCTTGACATGCCTTTTACAATGGCTTTGCCAAAAATAGAGTGCAGTAAAAAGCACTCACCCACAGGGCAACTTCCACTCGCTCTTCATAGAGAACACTGAAGCAGCCAGGTGTCTGCTGTATTCTACTAACACTACTAGAAAGGCAAGCCTGTTTCTTATACCAACACCACTGCTAAGTAGCAGAGGTTTAGGTTTCACATTTTCTAAAACTGGCACTTCTTGGAAGTGTAATTAAAGTGAAGCATCCTACAATAACATATGAAGACACTTCGGGGTTGATTTACTAAACTGGAGAGTGCAAACTCTGGTGCAGCTCTGCATAGAAACCAGCTTCCAGGTTATATTGTCAACGCTTAATAGAACAAGCTTAGAAGCAGATATACCATGCACAGCTACACCAGAGTTTGCACTCTCCAGTTTTAGTAAAATCAACCCCTGTCTATACCGGGGTGCTCAACCTGTGGCCCTCGGAGCCCCCTGATGTGGCCCTCAACCTCAAAACAGGAGAAGTGCAGGCTTGGGGTCTGCAACCCATTGATTGCAATCTGGGCTTGCCAACCCATCATGCCAGAGCATCAGAGTGCATGGAGCCAGCGCCGGCAGCGGGGGAAGTAGGTGGCCGTGGAGGGAGAAGGAGCCACATAAGCCAATGCTTCCTCTGTAGTGCCGGCTCCTGTCCCAGGCAGAATGATAACAAGTGCAGGGTACCTATGAC